GTGCGTGCGTGCGTGCGTGCGTGTGTGTGTGTGTGTGTGTGTGTGTGTGTGTGTGTGTGTGTACCCCCCCCCCCCCGCAGGAGTTGGCATGGGAACAGAACTACACTCAGATGGGCTGATTCAAACCACGCTGTACAGAGCTGTTTCAGGCTGAGTAGCGTTCCTGGAAAACCACCTAAAGTGACGTCTGCGGTGCCGATAGGTACTGGTGTTGTGCAGATAAATGTTAGCCTGCTGGCCGTGGCACTGTGCACCTGCGAACAACAAGATAGTTTTCCAGCAGAACAAAGCTGACTCAAACTCCTTAAGAGTTATTTTAAGGCAAGTGGTTTCCATCCATCTGTCGTGTCCCGAGACACATCTCTAGAACTGAAAGGACGGCACCTCGGTACTCTACAGCCCTCCGGTGCCAGCAGTCATCCGACCACTCTGACTTTCGGATCCACCAAGAGGGTGCCTCTACGGTAATGTAGACACACAGATAGCGTCTGTATGCAGTTTGATAAATAGCTTATAGTAGGGCTGCACGATATTAGGAAAACCTGCGATATTCGATAACAGTGCTTAATACTGCGATATCGATATTACTCGTGATAAATGAACAATTACTAAAGTATGCAGCGTTGATGTCGTCTGGCGTGTGACGTCTGCTCTGGGCTCAAAGCAAACAAAAACTAATGCATGAATTCCATTACAACATAACATTTTTATCGCAAAACCATGCAGCTGCACCTGCTACTGTATTAGCAGCAAAACAACAAACTGCATGCATGCAGTTTCTCAGTGACTTTAAAACATCACCTCCACCATAAAACTTTTTCTGATGCTCCAAATACAGAAAAACATCCCTTACCAGGGTTTTTGAATAAATAAAATCAGAAAATAAGTTTAAATGTTAAATAATAGTTAACATCACTTAAATGCAACAGCAAATTCTCTCATTGCTACTGAGCATTTTCTCCACTTATGTGGTTATGATAGAAGGCTGTTGCTGTAATTGGGGAGTGAACTGTGCTGGGCCAAACTAGGAGAATATTAAGATTTTCTGAGGGAAAGAGAAAAACAATTGTCTACCTTTCAGAAGAGGAACTGGCAAAAAAAACTACATGGAAAATATGTGAAAATGTTTGTTTTTAACCCCAAATTGAACAAGTTTACCTAGATCTTAAAAAGCAGCTCAGATGATGAAACTGCAACTATGATTCTGATAACAAGCTAACAAATTGAACTAGCTCCTCTTAAGATAACCGGCTAGCAGAGCTTCTGACTGAGTTTATGTGCAGCAGCAAATCAACTATTCCGATTAACAAGGTTATAAAAGCTCATAAAGGAAAAATCACTTTGATGTGTGGGGGAACTTTTCCAGGCCCTCTTTAGCAGGGTGGGACTGGGAGGAGAGTGCTGTAGCCTTTTAGCTGGAAGCTAACTGGAGCCTGGGGCTAACATCACCACCCGGTGGAACACCAGCGACATGAAGGTGGGTTGGTTCACCGGCACGTGTCGGAGTCAGCCCGGTAAAAATGATTAACGACACCGAGTGGACTCACGTTCACGTTTGACAGCAGCAGCGCTGATTCCAGAAACCTCAGCACAAAATGCGTTCATTGCTCTGAGCCAGCATGACGAACAATGGAACGGCGCCACTAACTCAGTTCGGGTGTTGCTTTCCATCCTAAGGGCTTACGTAGGGGGGAGGCATATTACGTGAACGGACCCATCTGATTGGCTGCATATCAAAAGGACTACATTTGATTGGTCAAATAATACTTCCGCGTAAAAAACAGAGCTGGTTTACAAAAAGATGATGTATGACACGGATGGAAATATTGAACCAAACATTTATCGCCGTTTTTGACGTGCTTTGCGATGGGCCTATCGCACGTCCTGTTATCCCGATGATGACAATTTTTCAATATATTGTGCAGCCCTAGCTTATAGCTCATCTGCAAACTAAATTTTTTTATCCAGAACACACCTCTCTGAAGGTACGGAGATTCTGATTCATCATCTCATATTCACATAGTTTTCAGACACCCATCTTTTAGTTCCATCCACTCACAGGATAATAGTTTAAACCATTTGTCAAGTCTTAATTGTTTGTATAATAAATTCTTATTTGTTTGCAAACACTGACTGGTTCTTGAATCATACACGAAGTGTGAACGATCCCTTAATAATTAAAAGAATCCTAGAACCTTCTAATTAATCATCCTAAGACCAAGCAAGGTGATATTCTATAATTAATAGAGTATTACAGCTATTGGTCAGTAATGAGAATAGAAATAAATAGCTTTTAAAGCAATTTATTTAGCCCACATTACTCTATTTTCCATTACATAACACAGTTACGCTTCTGAGATGATTACCATCACTGTCATAGGACTGAACATTTACACATCATCAACCACCCCTTACCCTCTGAAACTGATACACACATGTAAACAAGATGGATAAAATATCAGTTTTACTTATCGGACAGATACCATTAACATTGGCCGATGCTGATAATGATGCAGATATATCGTGCATCCCTACTCAAAATCTATTGACTCTGAAACAGTTCGGGAGCAAAACAAATGTGATCGGAACATCCCTGTATATGTTACATAGAACAGTTTCCAATTGTAGGAAGATGTTGTTCTAGGACCCCTTTAAATCAGTTTAAGGGCAAGGTGGGCTTCTTGAAAGATTTCACGGTAATAAAATCAAATCGTGAACATTTGAAAATGAAGCAATCTCAAGAGGAAAACTACTTATTACAAGAACAAGAGTGCAGATTGTTTGCTTCACACATCAGCAAGCCTTAGCTGCTGACACTGGAACATAATCTAGCTGAGCTGCTGGATAGTCTCAAGCTGGCAGGGTATCTGCAGGTTTAAGGGAGCCAAATTTAAGACTTTTTAAGACCTTTTTAAGGACACTTTGACCAAAATTAAGCTATTTTTCAGTTTAATTAAATTTAAGCTATAATTTCCAGCTATTGCCTGGAACTGGTGCTAACCACGTCGTGAACGTGGGATTAGCCATCCAGTTACCATTAATGTTGCACTTCCCCATGGCGCAAACTCCTACTAGTGTGCTCCTCTAAAAATAGCCCCCTTTCACAACCAACCGAATGTGTACAGTTCCACTTACGCCAATATCGTACACAAAAATGCTGAAATAACTAGAAATTCTCAAAAATTTTATAGATATAAAAGAATCTTGTTTATTGGGTCTTTGGTAATTTAAGACCTTTGGAAACTATTTAAGGATTATTTGTATTTTTTAAGGATTTTTAATGCCTTAAATTTGGAAAAGCAAATTTAAGACTTTTTAAGACTTTTTAAGGACCTGCAGATACCCTGTATAAGAATCTGATTAACTGCTTAAGAAAACACACATGACGCTGTTCACTTTCATGAATAAAACAATGATCCTCCACACTCACACAGCGACTGACACAATCATGCAAACCAAAAACCAAGATGCTCTTTTTTGTATCACACAAATATCTGATTTTAATCCTTGAGAGAAGAGCCAGCTGCAGGTTTTCATCTTCTCCTGACAACATGAGTCACCTTCAGCATGCAGTCCGACGGGATGCAAAGGAGAAGACGACTTAAGAGCATCATCTTGAGGTGAAAAGTTCACAGCCGGCATACAAGAGTACAGTGGGAGCAGGAGAGGGAAAAAGAAGTAAATTTCTATTTAGCTTGAAGAACATGGCAGTCCTTTCTCTGATCAGAGACGAAATGGGAAAATTGGAGAAGGGGAGGCCTGAACTTAGTCTAATGGTGATGGAAAAAATGCTAAGAGATAGGGCTATCAGAGCTTCAACATGGCAGGATGTGACATTTGGAGAGCAGGAAGAGGAAACAGGACAGATATAGATTGGTTTGGTAGCCACTCCTGAAAACATGTCTATTCCATTAGAAACCTTGGTGGCAGCTAATGTGTTTATCAAAGCATGCACTTTGGGTCTATTCCTAACCTCGGGATGTCTGCAGCAAAGGCCAAAGGAAGACTTGATGCAAACTCTGACTTTGGCTCAGTTTTTGCTCATTTTCTTCTTCCACATTTCAAAACCGAGTTTTAAAACTTGTCAGTTTAACATTCCGTCACAAAAAAAGTGAAAAACCGCCCCAGGGTCAAATGATAAATCTAATCAGAGCTAATGTAGGTCATTAATTAGTAGGGCTTTATTGCAGCTCAGCTCATTTCTCCACGTGAGAACGTCATGGATAATGGGACAGAGTTCAGTCTAACTGATTTAACAAAAAAAAAAAAAAAACAATAGAAGCTCTTTGTGCAAAAAACAAGTACTGCTTTCATTCTGGTGCAGAGCACCACATTTTTGCATCTGAGGATTTCCACGTAACAGCAGGATAAACCCACTGTAAAGAGCTGAATCCCAACAACTTAGCATTAAGTCAAACAGGAGAGACAAAGAAATGTAATTCTGGTTTCTGGCTAATTCAAGCAGGAATGTTACAGATGTGTTTATAAAGACAGAGCTAGTTAAAGACAGAACTCTGCTCAGATAGCTTTACTATGCCTAACAAATATATTCTCTCAACTGTGAACCAAACAATAGGGAAGTTTAATAACAGTGAAAAATCATCAAAGGTCCTGTAAAATATTCATAAATTAATGCTGGCAATTAATTAAAGCATTTTTTTATTTAAAGGGGACATTAATATAACGGAAGTTACAACGGGAATGTGTAATTGTAGTTTATTAGCCTTTAATGAAAGCCTAAGTGAAAGTATATTTGTGTCAGACTTTGTCATAACAGGAGTATGGGTGTGTCCGTGCTGGAATCAAGCCATCTGATCAAGTCTGACTTAGTCCCATCAGAATGTTTGGGATAAGACAATCCAGCCCCTGACCTTTCTAGTCCCGGTCGTTAAGAGTGAAATGGAGCAGCACAGACTGAAGCTCCAGCTGTTTGCAAACCACAACAAATACACTGAAATAAAAAGGGCGGTGGTCCACCACCGGCATGCAGCCCAACTTGCCTTCAGACAGCTCCAGCTCCAGCTCCGCCAGCTTCTCCCGGACCTCCGCCGGAAGGGTCATTGCGACAGCCGGCGTGGGCTCCAACATCACCGGCAGCAACCCGGTGGAGGTTCTCTCTGCCATGGTGGTCCAGCACAATGGACGAACGAGTCCAGCGCGATAAAAAGCGATTTCTTTCGTTTTATTTTAAACCTCCCCTGGATTCGGCTCAGAGCAGATAGGGTGTTGGTGCGTCTCCTGCCTCAATGCTGCAGCTGCTTCGTCACCCAGATGTGGGAGAAATGCCTCCAACCGTCATGACACGGCTAGCTGCGACGCTAGCAGACACACCGGGCTCCGGGGCTCCACAGAGTAAGTTGGGACATGCTTCTGCCGGGCTTCGGCTCGTCTGGTCCTCGGCTCTGTCAGCTGCGAAGTCGTTTCAACTGTGCATTCAACTCCTCGTTCGCTTCCCACCGCGCGGTCGAGGCTGCAACAGCAGCCTTGACCGTGCGCGCTCACGAGGGCAGCGGGTTGTGTCTGTGTGCGTGCACGCCAGCTCCCTGCTGCTACTCCGCGTGCAACTCTCCTGCCTCCTACTGTCACTATTTTACGGAGATTTTAAAGAAATACATTGATGCTGAACTTGTTGCTGACATGCAAATAGAAACATCTGAAAACCAAATGTAGTGAAAATATAGAAGACCACAGATGAACATGTTAAATTTGCAGTTTCAATGCATATAAAATGATTAGAGAGTTTCATTTGATCAATCATGGTTACCAGTGATGCAGATGAGTCAGATTAAATGTCGAAGCTTTAAATGAGACACAAATTAGGGGGCAGTACATACCTAAATCACTGCAAGCAAGCAGTATTTTTGTGTTCGAGTAAAACCTTACCAAGGGAAAGTCATCAGGGTCAAAAAGTCACTGGGACAGCAATTTTCAAGAGTACTTCATTAGATTGTTCAATCTTCAGCAAAATGACAAGCACATCAGACTCCCTTTCAGCACTGGCAACGAGCAAAGCTGTAAGTGTGTAAAACATCTATGAATGGCGAACATTTTGTAACTGCTTGTTGCAAATCAGTAAATGTGTTAGATCCTCACGGGCTCCCATAGAAGGAAACAGCGTATGGCATCGCCCAGAAACTTACACCCGCGTACATGTATTTTAAATACGTTTTTTTATGGTTATTTACAAACCCGCCAATGTTTTCTATCAACTGAGCATCATTTAATTAATTTTCAACAAGTTTCGATAGAGATTCATGGCAGAAATTACACATTGTCACTTTAAAGAAAAGAAAGCGTATCATTGTTGTTAAATATAACTTGTGGGGTTCCACAAGGATCAGTTTTAGGCCCCAAAGTGTTTATGGTTCACTTAAACAACATATAGTGTTGAACATAGTAAAATACCTACTATCTGCTGATGATGCAATTATCTTTTGTTCTAGGGTAAAATCTTTGGAACATTCTGTCATTAAATTGAAATACAACAAAATACACTTATTTGATAATACACGTATTGTTAGATAGGTGGGATGGAGATGTGGAAATGAGTTAGATGTGTTTTGCAGCAGCTTATCTGAACAAACACCAGTAATCGTGTTTGTGTCAGATTAATACAAATCGAAATGTTAAAAATGGGATATGTACGTTGATACGTTTGCTTTGTTTTTGTGTTTTGTATTTGACCTTTCATATTTGTGTTTGAAATAAAATAAATCCATACCATACCATAGTTTATTCACATAGCACATTTAAAACGCAGCATGGGAGCTGCCCAAAGTGCTGCATAGGCTAAACCAAAACACTACCAATCTAAGCAATTAAAACAGAAGATAAAATTACAGATCAAAAGCAGATAAAACATGAGGAATACACATTAAAACAATAACACAATAAAACACTAAAACGAGTCACTGTCTAAAAGCCACATCGTAGAAGTTGTTTTTAAACGAGATTTTTAAACCGCCATTGATGGATCCTGCCGAACTATAATGGGTAACGAGTTCCACAGCTTTGGGGCAGCATGTACAAATGCTCGTTCACCCCGTGATTTGCATTGCATCCGGGGCGTGCAACGCAGCAGGAGGTTAGCCAACCTCAACGTGCGCGTGGATACATAGGGAGTGAGCAGGTCAGAGAGATAGGGAGGTGCCTGGTCGTTGAGTGCTTTAAATACAAAAGTCAGTAACTTAAACTGTACTCTGAAAATGACAGAGAGCCAGTGAAGATGTTCCAGGACAGGGGTAATATGGCTACGTCGGTGCGTATTTGTCAAGAACCTGGCAGCAGCATTCTGGACGACCTGCAGCCGATTCAGAGCAGAGACCGGAGCACCAACTAGGAGGGCAATTGCATAGTCCAGGCGAGAGGTAATGAAGGCATGGATGACTGACTCCAAATGCCTTCGTTTCAAGATTTGTCTGAGGCGAGTAAGGCGGCGAAGCTGATAAAAGCAAGACCTCACTACGGAGTTTATCTGTGGGCCCATTGAGAGTTCAGCATCCAGCTTTACCCCGACACTTGTCACGCACTGTTTGGGGTTGAAGGTTAACCCTTTGATGCATAATGATCACTACAGTGGACAGGTACTCAAAATTGTTATTTATTTGTTTTTGCTATTAAGCACAGCTGTTATTGCATTTGAGCCCCTCCATTTGGACTTCAGTAAGCCAAGCCAACATATTTCATGCTCAGAATGCACGCTGCCCACTGAAGTGGACATGTAATAAATTATTTGTAAATTATAAAATTTTACAAAAAATATTTGTTGAAATTTGTTTCATTCACACCTAAAGATGAATGGAAAAAATTGTTTAAAAATCATGGTTGAAGATTTCATAATTCATGCATCAAAGGGTTAAAAGGTCACAAACAGGGTGAGAGCCATGGTGGTTGCGGGTGTCAAAAAATAGACTCAGTCTTCCTTTCATTTATCTTCAAGAAACCGGATGCCAGCCAGCCCTTCACGTCGTCTAAACATGCAGCCAATCGTGAGCCCGCATTCTCCTCATCCATTGCTACATATAATTGGCAGTCATCAGCGTAAATGTGATAGCTCAGGCTGTGCTGATTCAGGATTTTGCCCAGAAGCAGAAGGTAGATAGAAAACAACAATGTCCCGAGAACGGAACCTTGTGGCACCCCCCCCCCCCCCCCCCAATGCAGTGGGAGACAGGAGGATGCAGTCAACATTCTGGACAGAGATGGATCGGTTGGATGGGCAGAAGCGGAACCATTTATGTGCCACCCCCGTCACCCCAACCCAAGACCCAACTCAGATCAAATCAAGGTCCGCTTAATAGTGATTTGGGAGCAGAGTGGTACAAAACAACCAACGACAAACATATACAACAAAATAGTTTATAAAAAAATTAAAATGCCTTTTTCCAAAACATTTAAATAAATGAACAGCAAATAGCAACACTGGGGAAAAAATTTACATTGCTTAATTAATAGTGATATAAGGTTAAGTAGAATTTTTGATTTTGCTTTTTACTGAATTGCAATGTTGTGATAGTTTGTGCTTTAGATAAGAAACAGACAAATATTCATGCAATGTAAATATAACATATTTTCTCCCACAATCTTCCATAGTAAGTGGCTGTAGCAGCAAAATTTGAATAAAACATTAAGTATTTCAGCACTAATACATTCAAATTAACATGACTATTCACTCAGTGTCTTACTGATGTTCTTTTTCAATTTTGATTTGGTAGATGCAAAATGATCACTTGGCCCCACACAAAACCTTAAAAACGGAAGGATGGTAAGTTAAAACTTTATTGTACATTATGATGAATACATGAAATGTAATAAAAAGTACAATTAACATTCTATTAAAGCTATGAATAAAAATACATTTTCAACTAAATATATTAAGGTCAGCATTTGACATTTATAAGCTAGCATAATTATATAAATTTAAATTCACATTTAAAGAGAAGCAGAAAGAAACATTCAACTTCATGACGATGAAGAAAAGCTCCTCGTCGCGTCTTTAGACTATATTTTATTACAGTAAACTTCAAGACTCATTTTTTACTGAGATCTGAGATAATAAAAAAATGTAAATTTATATAGTGAGCTGCCTTCCAATGTTAGTTTAACTGTAAGTCTTGAGTTTCCAGGACTAACAATACTCTATGTTGCTCTTTTTCAGACGTCTGTATCATGAAGTCTCTCAATAGTTTACTTGCATCTGTTATAAAAAAGTTGAAATATAAAGAACTAAATAGTGTCTCAGGTATACAGAATGAGTAGTGACGGAAGCAAATACACTTTTATTTAGTTTTACTTTATATTTAAATAAATGTTCTGCTTCTATTCTGTTTGGTTCTAGTTTTCCATCTTCATTGAGTCTCTGGTTAAAATGTTGAGGTTCTGAATATGGATTGGGGGGGGGGGGGGGGGACAAGGTTTTATAGAAAAATGTATAAAATAAAGAGAGAAAAATATGTTTAGTATTTAAATATTTCTTCTTCAGCCGCTAGGTGGCAGTGTGCACAAATGAAACGCTTGAATCCATGTGAAATTGGTTGAGGGAGTTCAGTTGAAGTAACTTCCACTTTAGCATTTCTAATCCAGATATAGATTCTTCCTTAAAGTGTGTTTTACGTCGATGCTATAAGCTGCTCCAGGATTTCTTCTATTATGCTCAAAAATGGCTCCATTCACCCTCATTTGAACGTCAACAAGATTCAGTTTCCTGTCAGAACAGGGGAGAGAAAACGAGAAACATTTAGACGAACAGAAGACGATATTAAATTTAATGTTTGCTTCTACCTTCTTTGGGCGTCGTGTAAGGCATCAGTCAGCGCCTTTAGGTAGACAGAGTGATGTTTCCTTTGCAGCAGCTGACGTTCATCTGTCCAGCAGTGACTCCAGAATATATCTGCTTCTTTGGGAATGGAACCACTCGCTGGCTGTCTATTAAAGCCATCGACCTCCACGCTCTCGGCCACGTAGTTCAAATTAGACTCTACAACGTTGTACCTCTGGATAAAGAACAGCTTTGGCTTCCCAGCCAGCATGGGACAAGCGTCACCCGTGAAAAGATTTCTGATGCAATCTATAGCAAAACCGCCACCATACTCATCTGTACCCAAAAGGCGGTGGGTAGAACCACGGCTGATGATGCAACAGACAAAAGCATCTCCTATGTGGTTTTCTGTCGGTCTCAATATTTCTCTGAGAGATAAAAGGATGAGATCAGAAGTCAAGAAAAGGTAGAGGGAAACGTTGAAGTGAAGAGCCTTGAACGTCTGTTCTAACATTTCTGAAAGAGAAAGACGACATAAATAATTAGAGAATAAGTGAGTGACTTTGCAGTACACATGTATTTTTTCCCTTCATCTGAGTATTTTCACTTTTCCTGCACCACATCTCAAGGATTGTTGGGCTACATTTTACGGTACGATAACTTCTTATTCACTAAAAATCATATTTTAAACTGAAATATTTATCCTAATTGTAGTCACTCAAGCCACTTGTACAATAAGAAAATTAGCCCTGTAGAATAAATTTAATTCCTTAATTCAGTTTTCCACAAAAATGCAAATCACAAAACCAAATTACTGCATAGGCATTAAAGCAGCAATCTGGAGTGTTCCCCCTTTCAGGAATTACGTATGAGTTTTTCAGAAATCCATAAAGTGACAGCATTAACCTGTTCTGTGAAAGAATGTGAGCGATTTGTCAAAATTCTATTTTGTTTTACCTCATTATAATGTTTTAGGTCTCACCTCCACCATTTCCCACACAGTCTATAATTACACAGACTCCTCTTGGATTAGTGTTCAGGTTGTACCGTTCCATCGGACTCTGCAGGAAGAAAGCACAAACCTGTTAAACATGCACTTTAAATAAGTACATAAATATATTTAATATGCTTTATGACTGGTTAATATTTACCCCGCAGGCTGCCTCTTTGTGTACAGGAACCACCATGTTTACTCTGGCTGTTGAAAGAGTGATGCGTTCAAATGTGCAACAATTCAAAACACCTGGGCGTTCTGTGGGGATTTCCTGTTAGTTACCGTAAAACCCCCATGTGACATATTATAATTTTGAATAATCGGTAATCTGAAATGGTATTTCACCAAACATTAACACCTATAAAACCGCATCATCAGGATGTCTTTAACTTTAAAGCTTGCCTTACCTATGTGCGCGGGCTGACTTTGTTTGATTTCCTAGATGAAACATATGCGAAGTTGGTTTTATTTTTATATCAGTTTGAGAAAAATCTGGGAGACTTTTAATGTTTGTACACTACGCACAGCAGCTTGGCAGCTTTGCCGTTGAGCTAACGGCTCTGCAGATGGCCCAGCTGTAAACGACACAGAAAAGTAAACAAAAGTAATAAATAACACAAAAAATAATGTGAAAAACAATTTGCTAACTTTTTCTTTAGTTTATTTACTTATAACATGGGGAAACTATAAAAACATTTATTTGAAAAATTGCAGTGACAGTAAGAATGACATCTGGTGGTAAAATGTAGGTACTGCGATCCATGTATCAAAACAAATGAGTCCACTTTCACCCACTTCCCCTTCCCCTTAATGAGTTTCATGCTGGTTGCCAGTTACAGATCAGCCACCAGAACATTCAAGATGAAAAGTGAAGACGAGTGTAAGTTGATAAGTAAATAAATACATTCCACTGTAATGTAGAATTGTTCATAATTGAAATGGGAAGTCTGAGAAATTGTCAGAGTCGACAATCGTTTTTCTAATTCACTGTTAAAATTGTTAGCTCAACATTAGCCTCTAGCCTTCTTTACTCATTAAAGGCGGCGTAGAGATGCCATGGCTCTTTGTTTACAAATTACTTCTGGGCTGCTCCTTTTACTGACTTCCATTCTGTGCCAGCCTGTGTCAAACTATAAATGCTGGCGCAGTCTTTGCGTTGAACACTTGGCAACCTTGCAAGCTCACATATGTATGGCTATGGAACCAGGAAGAATGGAGTCGGGACTGTTTGGCCTAGTCCCAATACTCGTACTTCCATGCTTGCACCCCTCAAATTGGCGTTCCTGTCCAGTTTGTGAGTGCACAGGGTGTCAGGATTCTCAAGTGTGGCCCTTGGCCCCGCCCCTTTTTTCACCCTTGAGCCACACTTAGCCGAAATTCACACCGATGTGGACTTCAGCCCACAATCTATTGTTGTGTGAGGATTTTGAGAAGAATGCGGGGAAATGGCTCAAGCGCTCTTTATGAAAATATTTATTTTCAAGTACTTGTAAGCATTGAAATATTGAATATTTTATTATTGTATACACATACAGTACATACAGTTACAGTATAAAGCCTACATACCAGAGGTGTGGACTCTAGTCACATGACTTGGACTCGAGTCAGACTCGAGTCATTATTTTAATGACTTCTGACTTGACTTGATAAAATCTATAAAGACTTATGACTTGACTCGGATTTGAACCCCAATGACTTGCGACGTGAATCAACTTGCATCTGTTGACTTGATGATGACTTGAGCATATTTGCCATTTTTGAACAAAAGTGGCACGACATGGACAAAAATCGTAAATCATTTTTCGTTCTGGGTTTGATTTACTGCTAAATGAAGCAGCACTTCGTTTAGAATCAGTTTCAGTTGCACTTTCTGCTTGTTCGAGCAAATAAATGAAGCTTTAAGAAGTTTTATTTCTGGAATTTATTTATTATCATCGTCATTAAATTGAAGTTTGACAGATGACTTGATTATGACTTGAAAATTCAAAGTTAAGGACTTGGACTTGACTTGGACTTACACATCATTGACTTTGGTTTCGACTTGGACTTGGTTGTCTTTGACTCGAGACTTGACTGGAAAGACTTGTGACTTGCAAAGCAGTGACTTGGTTAGAGCCCTGCACTGAAGCCCTAGGCCCTCGGGTTGGCCCGGCCCAACGGCCGGGCTTCGGGCCAACGACTGTGTAATTACCTCGGACACGGGCCGGGCCGGGCGCCTTTATTTTTAATCGAATTCATAAAAACAATTTGAAACACAAACGCAGCAGTAGAGCCCTGCGCGGGACTGTTTTCTTCATCCCGCTCCTGCCCGTTCCCGCTGAATTTCTGACCATTACCGCCTGCAACTGCAACGTGTGTGTTACACTCCCGCCCGCACCCGCAGCGTGCATGTCTACTCCCGCCCGCAACCGCAAAACTCGGAGAAATTATTACCTCGCAATGAAAGGGATGTATTGAGTTTGCGTCCTCTCTGGTCCTGGAGAAAACACGTCACAACCCGCGGCTCTTCCATCCATCTGATGCGGCTCTCTGTGCTTGTAAAATAATGAATGGATATTTAAATAAAATGCTTCATATTTTACTGACTTAATTTTATATCTGTAAGTCAATTCTGTGTAAAGATTGTCTGCGTAAACCTGAACAGTTCCAACCCAGTCTTACTGTGAGACCTGGTTGACGCGTCACGCTTGTGCGTAATCATAGGCGCTTCCTGAGCTGAAGAGATTCTGGACTTCTCCTCAGACGGCTTCTGGATGCGTCACCACATTGGAGACAGGAACAAGCGCTATTCAGCCAAAGTTTCATAATCAGGGAACATTTTCTAAGTGACAAGTCTCTCTGAGAGACAGGGTTTGGAAAACACTCGCTTCAGTGGGAGGAATCTTCCCGCATGCGCTCTGGTTCTGCAACACACTCCAAGCCAATCTCCACAACTTCAGCTCGCTGTGCACATATGCGTTGACAGCGAGCTGCGCTGAGCAGCTCAGATGTTCAGATGGGAATCTTTTCTTGGGTGATTTAGCTACATCTGCGATGTGTGTAACGAATAAAATGTCAGTTCGTCTGCATGCGTCGGGGTAATTCTTTCTCCGTCAAAATAAACTGTCAAATACGGGAACTGTCCAGTCAACACAACACAAGCCCTGCTTTTGACTGTTCTGTTTTCTTGTGAAAATTGTTGGAAAGAGATAAAATTTAACTTGATTAACACCAGAGCCAGTGCGCCGTCATCTCCGTGACGGTAAATGAGGGAAAAACAAATCGATCAGATCCTGCACGTCTTTTAACACATTGGTCAGGATTGACGCACTTTGTTTTCATTTAGTTGGTTAAAAAAAAAGTCGGGCTCGGGCTCGGGTCAGGCCAGAGAATCCTGAAAACCTTTTCGGACCAGGTCGGGCTGGGGCTCCACCCCCTCGGGCCGGGCCGGACACGGGCTCAGATTTTAGGCCCGTGCAGGGCTCTAAGCTGGGCGATATGGCATAAAATCAATATCATGATATATTGAGGATTTCACCTTGATAATGACAAATGGACATAACTACAGGTATGCGCAGAAACAAAAGTTGTCCACTAGATGGGGCTGTCAAACACACATCTTTTCATTTTTTTATTATCAAATTTGACATGGGAAAAATTATCTAATAAGTCAGAAATTTCGATAACGATAAATTTTCGATTTATTGCCCTGCCCTAGTGGGTCATATGGTTAAACAATTCTTGCTTTACATTTTGAAATGCAGCTGCTTTGGTAATTGCGTGCAGCCTACAAACAAATTAGTCATTCCAGTCACTACAGAACTTCCTTTGGTTTCACTTACCTTTTTTTTTTTAAAAAAAAAGAGGTGTTTCACTGAAACTTCCTCTAATAAGATGAAATTCTCACCTGACATCTTGTAGCAGTTGACTTTTTTGACCAGATCGACTCTGCCAATATCAAGTAAACATTTTCCCACAATGTCCACTCTTTCAGGTGAAACTAAATCCAACTTCTCCAGTTCAACGATCACATCCAAGAAGGACTGCAAAGGGAGTTAGAGTAGGTCCAAATGAAAATGTCAATCAAGCACTCACACACACACACACACACACACACACACACACACACACACACACACACACACACACACACACACACTTCTGATCATAACTCACCTTAGATTTTTTGACTTTCTCACGAGATAACGTGTTACCAAATAGGAATTTTATCTCCTCCACATCTTCAGTAGACATTTCTTCACTTATATTGATCATCAGTACTCTACAGAGCAAAAACCATGTTATTAAATAAAACACTGCATCTGTATAAGTTGATGGCTTTTTATAACATTCCTTACCTGAATGGTTGGAAAATATTTTCATATGTTTGCATCTTCTGTTCTATCTCAGTCCTGCAAACTTTATAGACCTTCTTTAGGACGTCATAACGCCCCAGACAAGATATGAGCGCCTTTAGGAACAAATGGGCGTCTCCAGTGTTTTCCACTTTGGATTTCAGCGTTTCCTTCACTAATTCAGCACAGCAGTCTGTTTCTAAGCTTTCGCACAGATAGATTAACTTCCTGCAGTCACTGCTACTGAGAGCCTCGGTTATTACATTGATCATCTGTAATTGACTTTGATCCAAATGAGCCATGTTGTTGATTGGAGTTTCTTGAAGATGATTAACTGAAGATCAAAAACCTTTAGGAGTCAATAAAAAAGCAGCCAACCAATCAGAACTGACGCTCTTAACGTGATCAGATAAAACATATTATTTAGAAAGGACAAAAATGTGTTCTAAATCATCACACATATACATTTAAATGTAAATTACAAAAGGGGCAACGGCAAAAACTTACCTTACAAACTAAACACGAGGCTAAATGAAAGAGGAATTAACCAGTCAACGCTATGACGCACTTTACTGGGAAAGCACCGAAAATACAAATGACGAGACGCAACCACTTCCCAAATTACTTTTAATTGTAAATTGGAATTGTCTTTTAAGAGTTAACACATTTACGAGAAGAAGTATGGGGAAAAAAGATTTAAATATCCACAAAGTGTTCCACAGCGAAAAAAAAGCGAAAGTGAAAGAACAAAGAGAGCTTTGTGACTGAGTAAACTCAGCCCCTGTAGGACGAAACACGTGACTTAAAATCATGAACAAACATAATACATTCATACACCGTTTCATTAAAACTTTCAGTTTTTTTTGCAGTGTATAGAATGTTTAATTTTGTGCTCTGTGCTATATTTTTAAAGATTTTGGTGTACTTTTTCCCTTTTTTGCATTAAAACATTCGCAGTTAAAACGTGGTAAAAGTGGGATTATTATGTTGGATTTTTAAAAAGGTAATCAGTATTAATTACCACAAATACACAATCCTAATCCTATGTAATCCGTCTGCATGTATCTTTATAACCCCCGGCTGTGTTTTCAGAACGAGTGTGCTGAGTTTTCCCACTAACATGAACGCAACGCCGCTTCTCCTCCCTCTAAATCGTCGAGTTCCGCTCCGTCCAGCCAATCGCGTCCCGCTCTCTTTCAGCACCGTTGCAGTGTGGAGGGGATCATTTGAAGCTCGCGGAGGAGGATACATACAGGGATCATTGGAGGAAAAGTACTCGACCTGAGTGACCGCCCTGGGCAAACACCTCCTCTGCCTTCCTGATTCAGTCATTGTGTTGCAGCTCCATTGCCGTTTAAAGTCCGAGTGAGTGTTTGATTTCATTATTGCAGATTTAAAAAAAAGAAAAAGCAAAACATTAAGAATTTGCCAGGTAGCTAAGTCAATGGGTGCTACTGGTGACTTGGAACACCACCAGCTGTCTGTTGTGGATGTAAACCCGCAGCTAGGGAGGATTCAGCGGCAGGTTGTACCAGAACAAGTGGTGCCTGTAGTTAGAGAGCAGATGCTCCGGCGCTGGAGCCTGGCTACCAGCCGCCACACAGATGCCTCGGCCTGGTCACGACTGATGGAAAACGAGGGTGCCCACCAGCTGCTTGACAAGATGAGGCATGCTAGCGGAATGCAAGTCGAGCTAAGGCAGCTAACGAAGGCGCACAGGCTCAGGCTTTCGTGGCATCCCCCCCCAAACAAGCCGTTAGCTAATAGTTAACCAACTGCTTAACAGAGCTGCGTAACAATTAGTAGAACTGGTTAGCTGGCATCAATGTTTTTGGGGAAACACTTGCTGTGTTGATAGTTGTGGCTCTATACCAAATAGTTGATCTTAAATGTTTAGAGTAAATATATTTCTAGTGACGCTTGTGAAGGCGGACTCCCAAAAATGTTGCAGCTAACGACTTTTATTTTGAAAATATATATACATTTATGTATAACCGGAAGTTAGAGGTGTGCATATGACTTCAAATTTGTGCAAATTTTTTTTACTAATAATATTCCTAACAATTAAAACTTGAAAATATTTAACATTTCTAATTAATGTTTGCAATTGGCAGCATTTTCATTGTTATTCCATATTTGTGCCAGTGCAGATCTGTATAAACATTGGTAAATTGAATGGTAGCAATGAAGGATTTTATGACGTGTTTTTTTCTTTTCAAAATCGTTAAAGTGTTAATTATCAACACAGTTTAATGAATACTGAAGTGATTTAGATATACAATTCTTAAGGAATTATAGTTCATTATATAAATCTAATGTTGCTTATAAATAGATTTGTAAACAAGCATTAGACACCATAACTTTGCGTAAGGACATCATCAGTGTTATCCACACATTGTTTTACCCTCTTACCTCAGATTTCACCTAGACACTGCTGCACTTTAAAAAAAATACTTGGGTTATTTGTTTACATTAGGACTGCACATAACAAGTTGCTTGTGTGTCCAGTTTGCATTGACTGACTATTGAAACGTATGTTTTCCTGTACATTGGTGCATGTATGGTACTTCAAATTGAAAAAAATCAATATACCCAATGCTTCTTTATTGAAAAAGAAGTGGATCAGGTTTTAATGTAACCATCATGCGTTTCTCACATTACTAATCCCTTTTGTTCACTCGTACGCTCCATTAACTCTCGTTGCTTCTGTCAGATTGTTTTCTAGTTGTGTTTTGATGTAGTCAAACCCAGAACCAGTAATTTAATTAAACACTCTGCTTAATGTGACGTTGGTCAAGATGAATAAGCCGCCATTAAAATAACGATGTAATGGGCAAAAGATGTAGGGCTGAAGATCTAGATAATTCCATGCCATCTGCTGCTCATCCTCAGCCATCCTCCTCCTCTTCATTTGCTGTAACTCTGCCATCATGTGTTTTGGGACCAGACTATCATCAGAAGAACTGCAGCCTATTTTAGACAGAAACCCCACTTACTCACCTAATCTGTGTCTCTGTGTCTAAGGGACACGTTTTATGTGTTGCTTAGTGTGGCAACACTGTGTGTACATTTGCTCCAGTTGGAGGAATCCCTAACTTAAAAAAATCAATCCATAACTCTGTTAAATCCATAGTTTATTTCCCTCCCACCAGTGGTGACACACACACACACACACACACACACACACACACACACACACACACACACACACACACACACACACACACACACACACACACACACACACACACACACACACACACACACACACACACACACACACACACACACACACACACACACACACACACACACACACACAATCAAAACTGTAATTAGCCTGGCATGGATTAGCAATGGGGAGCATTTTCCACTGTACTATACTCCCTCACACAGAGTCACACAGACAGACACCGTCCTGCCCTTCTTCTAACAGAAAAAGTTGTATTTCCGTGTTGCGCCCCATGAGATCAAGCAACCTCACAGCTCACCCCTGTAGTTTAGAGATCAAACAAATGATCATTTCCCTCTAATTTCGTTGCTTGTTTTTCTCTCTTTGAGCATCTAAATAAGCTTGTAGAATTCTTTAGAAGTCAGCAAAGGCAATGTTTTTGGCTTTCATGCAGTCAGCTGGATATGTGGTTAGCATGCAGAGAGAGATGTGGTACTGCTGACTCACAGCACTGCCGGGTGTGTGTGTGTGTGTGTGCGTGTGCGTGTGTGTGTGTGTGTGTGTGTGTGTGTGTTTGTCTTGGCTCTCTCCATGATGTACATGTCTCTCCGTCAAGCCAAACAAGAGTCCCCAGGAGGCAGACTAGCATAATATATGTCCTCATTACTCACTGCAAGGTCAACTCATTTTACAATTTCTATTTAATCCACAGACTTTTTTAATCAGTTGTTTGGATGATCCCCATCATCATTGGAACTTTGTTGTTTGATCAAAGGTAGAAACTTAAAGAATAGAAAACCTAAATGCAAACGTTGTTTTAACTGTCACGTCTCTATGTGGTAGATATAAATCTTTCAAGTTTTTTTTCTATTTGAGGCTTTTTTTGCTGTCTTTTTTCTTGATTCTGCTGCTTTTACAATATGACTTATAGTGCAAATAGATTTACTGAATTCCCCATAGCCTTCTTACCCAGCTAGCTAGGCTAAAACTTTCCACCCTCTCTTTCACCATTCCTCCTATCACAGAGGTCAGGATTCCCAACAAGATATTAACCCTTAATTTAGACTTCTGGATTACAGATCCTTTAATCCAACTGTTTCATTAGCAATCACATTAGTAAAAATGACTGCGTTTATGTTTAAAATAGTGATGCACCGATACTGATATCTAGGGTTGTCACGGTATGAAAATTTAACCTCACGGTTATTGTGACCAAAATTATCACGGTTTTCGGTATTATCGCGGTATTTTTTAAACGGTGTTGCATATGTTCAGAAAGCATTGATAGTCCTGTTCTACACAAACAGAAATAGTTTTGAAAAGGTTTAACAGTGTTTATTAAACCTAAAATAACACAAAGCCTTAGCAAAAGTGCAACTTTTCACAAGTAAAGGAACAAATAGCTTATTTTTCTGGAGCATGTTACAGTAGTCAGTGCAGGTTTAAATTATACAAATCCAAACATTCGAAACATAAACAATATGTAAACAAATCAAAGAAACACCACTTGTTTTCTCATATACTTGTTTTCTTCATTATCAAAATGAAAATCTAAAACTCCAGTCCACACTTGACTTGAAGTCAACCTTAAAAAAATATGTATTTAAAATAAATAGCCACTTTAAACAAATTACTAAAATAACTACTACACTATGTAATCAAATCCAAATGTTCAAGTATAAATGGCATTGAATAAGTAAACAAATCAATGACAAGGAACTAATTGTATATTTCTCTTCATCATCAACAAATAAGATGCTTCATCCAGCAACAGGGTGTCCGTGACACGGTTTAAATGCTGGCAGAGGACGCTGCGGCTGCAGTCTATAGTGACTCGTTGCATTCTCCCTCAACCAAAAGTCCTCGCGTCATGCATTTAAGCTAAAATGCTAATGTTAACTTACCTTGCACTGGCTGTAGAGACGTGGGTGATGGTCACGCAGATGTGCCATTAGATTCGAAGAGTTGCTGCCTTTTGCAGACACTTGTTTCCTGCACGTTCTGCAAACGGGATAGCCGTCTTCTATTAACTGTCCCTCAGCATTTTCAGAAATCCAAAATATGCCCATACTTCCGATTTAGTCTTCTTTGAGGGCTGATGGATGTCCTGGGCGCTGCCGTCTCCTCCTTCGGCCGTTATTTCAGCTTCAAAGTTTTGTTGCCGTTGCAAATTAAAAAGTGCGTGTGCGCGCCGCAGGAACTTCAGCTGAAGCGACGGTGGCTGGTAAGGGTCACCGCGCTGAAACCGCGGCCACGGTAAACCCACCGAGATAATATAGTTTTTTAAAAACTGGACGGTTATTTTTATTGTCAACTTTTTTACCGGGGTTTACCGCTATACCGGTTACCGTGACAACCCTACTGATATCCGATACTAAGATCACTGTTATGGCCTATAACCGATATTGACATTAATGCTTCTAAAATCAGCAGGTTTCGTATAGAATGAAAATTATTAAAGCTGAATTTACATTATTATGTACACACAACGCACACATTTAGGGTTCTGAGAGGATTTCATTCACCGTTCACATGACTAAACAATTAAGGTTGGTTTATGCTTGACGTGTCCGCGAGGTCCGCACGGCTCCACGTGGAAAAGTTGCGTCATTTTAACAACCACGCCCCTCCACCGCGTCTCCGCACGGCCCAAGATTTCCGCAACGCGCACCTCGGAAAATTTCTAACCACGCGGACGGACGGACGCGGAAAAACATGGCGGACCGGCAAGAACTAGTGTGGCAGAGGTTCATAAACACAGACATTTGTATGATTCAGCTCTCAGAGATCACCGTGATCAACATGTTGTTAATAATTCTTGGAGAGAAATAGCTCGCACTGTCGGAAAAGACGAGAACGCTGTTAAAAATGCTGAAATGCCATGTTGTAAACAGTAATTTCTACTTCTACTATGGTGTAGTGTTGGATGCATGCTGTAGAGCTCCATGCTGCCCCGTTCAGTTTGGGAGAATATTGGCTCACGGCAGAGACGAGCCGCACAAACCATAAACGCTGCGAGTTGTGAAGCGCGTTCCATCCGCGAGCCGCATCACCGCGCGGAAAGTGAATGCGTCAAGCATAAACCAAGCTTTACACACCACGTCCTCACCCTCTGAAACAGGCAAACAAATGGAGATGAGATAGAAAAAATATTGTTTGTTAATATCGGCCTGGTTTTATTTATCTAACCGATAGCACTATGTAAAAAAAACGACTAGCATCGGCCGATAGCGATATTGATGCAGATATATTGTCCATCCCTAGTTTAAAACAATGCTTGCAGACAATGAAAGCAGCATCTTTGTGTTGGAATAAGTGCTTGATTGTGGCTCAGGCATTTCAGCTGCTTTAGTTCATTTTGGTGAGCGCTATATTTGGATCACCATTATTTAAACTGTTCTGTGTTGTTAGATTTAGTGGTTAAACTTTAATCCACCTTTTTAGTGAAAAGTAACTTGCAACAGGTATTTCAGTCCGGTTTAAATACGTCTTTATTGAAGAGACCTGTGGGAAAATCCAGAAGTGCCTGTCTCAGCTGGAGGAGAGAGTGGCAGAACAGGATTATTTCCTGATATTTGGACATCTCTCCTTGGATTGGATAACAGCAGCACGACTCTACCACTGACTCCGTTTGCTCTGCAACATTGATGTCTTTACAAATAACACACGCCTAGAGGAGCTTCTGCCATGTGGTGGAGTTGCTAATGCTAACGTTAGCTTCCGCTAGTCGAGACGTTCTCTGCTGTTTCCTGGATGCTAATCCAACAAAAGCCTTCCTCATCACGAGTCAAGATGAGTGAATCTATGAATGGTCAGAGACAGTGTGGCGTAGATCTGTCAGGCTTTTCTAATCCTAGCATTTTGCCATCTATTTTCTTTCTGAAGCTAACGCAGGAGAAAGGTGTAGAAGACTTTTTTCATGTTCAGCCTGCATGAAAAACAAGACTGACTGTAATCATAAATAATCATTACAAAATGCTTTGTCAGTGTACCACACCTTTCAGACACACACTTGCTCACTGTTCCATGCAGTATTTCTAACAAAATAACTAATCCTGAACTAATATGTCGACTAGTGTTTAGCTCAGTAAGATCAAATCATCCCTTACTTGCTGATAAGCGGTAGCGTAGTTTTGTTATACTGAAAACCCAGGGCTGAACCCGGTGTTACCTTGTTAAGCCACTAATCCTGCTATGTAGTACAGGCCTCGGTTATGTTTTTTTTTTTACATAACGCTAATCTCTATAAAAACTAGTACTCATCGTTTTTTACTAAATCACCATATTGGATAGGTGTACTGTTTATTTATTTTGTTAAGCACATTCTGCTCTTCGTAAACACGGCTTATGCGATAAGACCGAAGGACCCTTGAACCATTCCCATTTGCCTACAGGTTATCAGAAGGCACATGTATGTGACAAAGAAACTAGTTCTGCATTCATTGAAATGGCAGAATTCAAAGTGTGATCAGATAAAGCCACAGCAATGGAGTCATCATCCTCCCAAGGTCTCGGCTCCCTGCTGGGCTTTACCTTCCTGTTGGTCTGCTCTCCCGTTTTCCTGCTCAGCGTGCTGGTCACGACTCGGTCTCCTGCTGACGTTGAGCAGATGCCAAAGGCCTGGCTGATTTCAGAGCGCCTTTGAATCACTGCCAATTATTTGTTTTGTTATAAAGGATAGTGGAGTTATTTGTGGCAGAGGTGCTTACTGCCGTTTGTAACAAAGTCAAGCTACTAATGAGAGAAACCCAGAGAGTTAAAGGTGTTTTTTGGAATTCCATCATTTTTTGTGTCTGGCATCTTAATGCAAGCAGTGATTGAGTGTTTCATTAACAAGAAAAGTTCTGGCCAAAGCCCTGAGGCTAATGTTTAGTATCTTGGCCACAGGTGCTTCTAGAACTGTTTGTCCAGCTAATGTAATTTTTTTTTTTTTTTTTTTTTGCATAATTTCTATGCAAAGAATAGAGCCAAATGTAGCTGGATTGTTATTGTTTTCCATGTGGTCAGAATTGGGTTGATTTAATAGTTACAATGCACAATGAAAGGAAGGGGACGTTCTCTCATTGAGATTATTTGACACTTTAGCAATCCTGCCAGCACGAGGTGGAAATAAGACCGTTCCTCTACCCCTATTCCTCATTGATCTTTTTTGGGATGTGGAAACTTTGATCTCCTCCTTTGAGCAGTTCAGTGTTTTGGCATTTCATGAAAGCCCAAGATGGACCATTGTTAGTTGATCAGCTTATTCAGCAGTACAGCATTTTTATCTGTTTTTAACAGCACAGCACACCGTGTACACTTTGTGAGCACTTGGGCCAAATGCTGTTGGATTAGCCGTTATGGTTTATGACTGCCAGTCATTTACAGAGAAAACAGCTCTCAGCATCATGAGTCTTTTGTAGTGTCTACTAATAGTATTTGCACAATTTCTTAGAGTCCCACAGCTATTTTTGTTGTCAAAATTGTATCCATTACCAACCAGCTTTAAAGGTAGGGTTGACTTTCCTGGAAAAAGCCATTCAAGCCAGCTACTTTTTGAAAAAATATAACTCTAATTTTCAACCCCCTTTCTTCAGGCCACGCCTCCAGAATTTAGAATGCCGGACACAACGGATACTTTCAAACAACCATAAAAATGTAACATCATCTAACCTTGTTTGCACATTTTCTGACGTAATTTCTAATGTAACACGCCTACATAAGAACTACAGAGCCCCTAGGTTGCTAAAAGACTCTTCATAGCCAGGTGCCAGTCGGTCGGAGTTCTTCTGACTTTGTCTCCACTCTCCACTGAAGGTTTAAGAAAGGTAAAACATTGGGACCTATATCTAAGATCCATGAAGGGCTTAATACACTGGAAAACCCTCTCCATTACATCCCCCAATGCTACTTGGCCATTAAACAATTGAGTATGCTAGCTAATATGGCTAACCCGGCTCTGGCTTTGCTTCCTATTCAACTGCTCCAAGCCGAGATCCTGTGATTCATACACCCAGAGGGGTAAATGTGGCTAGATCAACCATTAAGAGTAGGACGTTCACAAAGATTGGATTGTATATTTCAGAAGCTATTAAAATGATTTAATCTTTACTAAACATTTGATTTATTGTTTGCCATTTATATGTGAAGAGAATTTCAAGCAAAATGGCAAAAATGCCCCAGCAAACCATCCTCTATCCCACATTCAAGTGCTCGAGTGTTTAAATGGTATTTAGTCTCCTATCAGAAGACTCTGTGCTAGACGGAGACATTTATTTTCTCCAGCTCCTGTTAAGTGTTTGAGGGTACATCCTCCAAATGCACTCATTAAGTTCCACAGAAATGATCACATTAATTATTACAAAAAGTTGTGATTATTTCTGCAAGAAAAGCATCTAATTCAAGCTCATAAGGTTATTCTCTGGAAAATGTCCTCGGGATTGCTTATTATCATCAATGACGAAATGTTTAGCCGAGGTTGGTACCAGATTCCTCAAAAGGCTTGGATGCCATCAGCATGTGCGTTTACCCCGTATGTGGGTGTGTACACACACACACACAGCATTTGCATCGAAGGCATTTGTATGCCCCAGCTTTAGAAGCATTGGAGGTGGGGAACAGGACATGGTTTGCAGTCACCTGTGCATTTGTGTGCTGCGGCTCACCCAGTCTAATTGGTGGAACCCTGTATGTGTGTACTTGAGTGTAACGCGCCCACCCCAACACGTCTTGCCCTGCAGCTGCAGCAGAGCTAATTTTAGCGCAGGATGTGCGTATGCCTCAGTTCCCCCAACTTGCCCTGTGATAGATGAGAGAGCCACGGTACAGACGTTTTAAACACTCACCTCAACCTCACCATCATTTCACGTGTGTTCTGAGAAGTCGTTTTCTACATTTTTGTCCACGTGTCCCATTAGCAGCAGTATAGATTTTCCCCTTGGATATAATGACTTCAGTTATCACGTCCTGCTTGCTTTTGACCTTTACTCTTACAGTCTTTTGACCCGGTTTGTGTTTCTCTGAGGTGGAGCGTAACCAGTCTGCTGCTCTGTCTTTTAGCCTCATTTAGTCCTTATTCTCTGTGGAAGATTACCCTATCGGATCATTTTACTGAGCTTTTTTTTTTTAAAACTGTGCTATTTCAGAGCTAATCGCCCACGCTGCAGGTGAGTGGCTGGTTGTTGTTACTATTGAGAGCAGCACAGCAGATTACACCAGACTGACTCACTGCAATCGGGTATTAGAGTTAATCCCCCTAACTAGGGAAAGTGTGTGCATGAAGTATGACTGTGTAGTGAAATGTACCTGCACCTAAGGAAAATTCCCCAGAGATGGGTGACAGAGATCTGTAGGCTGCACGGAAACAGAATCACCAAGGCTAAATGATCAAGACTCATTGTTCACAGGCTCACAACTACACAATATCAGCCCCAAAATAGCCTGACCTGAATGACAAAGAGTGCTGGGATGGAAAATAGGAATCAGGCACGACAACTGATCAATGTGCCCTGTGTAGTGTGTCATTACCCAACAGCAAAGTCTCTTAGAGGAAAAAATAATCACTATAAATACCCTCAGTGACACATGGACATGCAGAACTCGCTCTAGCGCTTTAGATTTAATAAAAGCAGCCTTGTACCTTTCCAAAAACCAATAAGTGATTTAAAATGTAAACAAAATGTGAGTGATCAACGGTAATAGTTGATTAGGATTTTAGTGATTAGAAGATAGAGAATTGAGCCCAGTGTTAGCATTGGTCTTAACAGTGGAGCCATGGAGCTTGCTTATGTTTAATAATTCATGGCTGACTGAGCTAAGCTGACCTTGAAAACTCCCTGGCTTGGATCGGAACCTGGCTCTACTCTTTTTAAAGCAGAAACGGGTTGAGACAGACCCACATGTACAGTCTATGTATACAAGCCTCTTTCATATATTATTAAAAAAAATTATGTTCTATTTACTCACTTGAAAATTATACTTATTTGCACCTCCATGATTTACTATACATAAAATAACACATTCATTCATTCATTCTATAACTGGTTATCCCAAGCTGTTGTAAGGATATGAGGCTAGACCATCTGTAATGTTTATTTTCCCATTTTTAATTCTACATATTTAATAAATTACCAGTAGAGAAAGCAGCTCCCACCAGGGTTATTTTCACTGTTGTTAAATCTCTTCCACCAAAAATGTGTGGATGTATGTACCTTTTCATATTTTTAAATAATTTTCTTGAGCCAATATGTGCTAAAATGACCCTTCACAGGGTTAATGAAATACCACTCAGACCCCCACTGCCCGGTGTGACCAGAATACCACATTTGCAACTTCAGACTGGCGGGCCCCCCACCTGTTATACTTACAAAACAATTGAGCTGACATACTTGGCGCCGCAGTCTGGGTCCAGCATGTTTCCTGGATGTTTTAGAGCATGAATACAGCTGATTTGTTTAATTTAGTGATGCACCGCTCCTGTATAAACTAATGAAGGCTGGGGAGGAATTTCAGCAGGTAGATTAAGGTGTTAAAAAGACGAATGCACCGCGAGGAGATACGTTTCATTTTCGGTTTTACCCTAGAGAATTAATAACGGACACTAGAGGGTGCTAAAAACAAGCAAAACTGCCAAGTGTACGATTCAAGTTTCAAATGCTACAGTTTTTATTTGCTGCCTCCTGTTTGGATCTCAGGTTAAACTTCAGTGCTAGTTCATATTTTGATAAATTTAGATACAGTTTTATATATTGCACCCAGTCAACCCTCTTCATTAACACCACTGTGTTTACACCTGAATGGTGAGTTTAGCGACTCGGGTGTAAAACAGTTGTATAAAGATTTTGGATTTTCCACTCATTTTGTACGGACTCACTCTAGAGCAGGGTTTCTCAACCTTTTTCAGCTAAACCCCCCCCCCCCCCCAAGTCATGCTGAAATCCCTTACTGCCCACCAATGAAAGAGAAACGGAAAGTTTTTTGATACAAAAATCGTAATTAAAAAAAATTAATAAATTAATTCAGCCTTGAGTTTGAAACTGTTTAATACAAATATGTCATAAAAAAGTATCATAAATTTTTTTTTTAGCTATTAGCAATGAGATATTGTAGGAAGCTAAATATCCTCGGTCCAGTAAATCCAAGCTTCAAGCAAACATACTGCTAATGCTAGCTCTTTTAGAGTGTCTCTCTTTAATTACCTGAAAATAGTTCAGTTCCTTTGAAGCTTTGTCTGGATGCATTTTGGACAAGTGCTCCTTAAGCCGGGAGGGTTTCATTGCTTCATTTGAAAAAACTTGTTCACAAAGCAGGCGCATGGGGAGTTGTGAATTCGTGGGTGAAGGAATAAATCCATACCGAAGGTAGTCCACATTGCACTGTCAACACTTCTTTTTATTCTGAGCCATTGTCTGTTATGAATGTCCTGTATCGTTAGCGCCCACCATTAGCATCTCAGCGTCCCCTTGAGTGGCAAAAAACTTTCACCGCCCCCTTATATAGTCTGAATGCCCACTGGGGGCGCTACAGCCCCCGTTGAGAAACCCTGCTCTAGAGTGACAGGTTTTTCTGGTTGAATAAAAAAAAATATTATTAAGCTGCTAATCAACGGTGACTTCCTTTACAACAACACAGCTGCCACCTCTGGAGAAATAAGAAGCAGTGAGCAAACCACTGATAGGTGCTCAGTGTTGAGTTGATTGGTTTATCTTTGTAAATCTGGATTACCTCATCATCTCGTGCTCTGGTGCCACAAAGGTGATGTTTATGTCAGTACTTTGCTAGGTTGCAACCTTATGTTTGTTTACTCCAGCTTAATGAGTCTGTTATTCCCAGATATGATTCATAATTCAGCAGCAAGTGATGAGTATCACAAGGTGTTCGAGGGAGCCCTCTGTTCATCACTCACTCCAGCATCCAGCTGGTGAAAGCAGAACATTAACATGGTTTAATTCAAAAGATGGAAACAAAGAAATTCCTTTGAGGTTAAACTTTTCTGTCACTTTTTCTTTATTTAATGACTGTCTAAAAAGTTTTAGTTTTTTTTTTTTGTTAACAGCTGTTGGCTGGTGGTCTGTACAGGTGGCTGAAAGAGGTTAAAGTGAGGTGTGTGTGTGTGTGTGTGAGCGTGAAGCGTAAAACAAGGCACACCCACACAGAGCACCTAGGACGTGGCTTTCTGGGTGATCATTTTATTTGTCATTTTGGATTGACTGGATTTTTCAGATTGTATGATGAGATATTTTGTTCTTCAGCTGCAAATCCTGAAAAACAATATTTTGAAATTACACACATCAAAGGTCCAACCCCCTTTCTTCAGACTCTTTTATTAGTGATACTTCCAAAATATAGGACTATGCTAGATGCGGCAGATGGTGTTTCAGAAACAACCATGAAAACATAACATTATCTTACCTTTGTAACCCATTGTTGGCACCTTTTCTGCTATAATTCCAAAAATTTAGTATGCTAGCTCATGTTGGCAGCCCAGCTCTAGCTTTCCTTCCTGTTCAGCTGTTCCAAACTGAGAACGCATGATTTTCTTACCCTACATTTAAGATAAGTAGGTAATTAAGTTGTTAATAACTTTTACATTTGAATGTTCCGATCCCATTTTTTGCTCCAAATCTGAGTCTTTTGATCTAGAGTATCTGCTGATACCAAGTCCCGACTCAATATTTCAGCAATGCTTTAAATTAAGAAGAATAAAGGAAAACGCATCCACGTTGTTCTAATAGTTTTTTCTTTTTTCATTATTAATGTACTTCTTTCTTTCTGAATTTGTTCAAGTCATTGATGGCAAATAATGTGCTAATATTATTAGGGATGCACCGATAGGATAGATGTTGGGCACAACACCTGTAACTCACCGCAGCTCCAGAAGATTGGGAAAACGGAATTTTTGCTATTTGTCTGCAATTTCTCTGTTTAACGTACCTTTTAGGTTTGGCTGGCTATGTGTTTTTGTACAAGCTGCAGTAAATTGAGAATATTAGTTGAGGACTAGGAGTGGCTGTTGCACTACCTTCACTGTTCAGTTTAAAATGTGTCCAAAATACAGACATTTTCACTCTCTGGATTTGCCTGCTAGCTAACAGCTACATGTTATGATGTCTGCATGCCCCGCCCTGTTAAGTGTGCGATGTTATGGGGGTGTTTTTGTCTAATAAGCTAACAATACTGATTATAGGAACTTTTTGACATTAAAATTAAGCCCTTGTTATTTAATTTGAAAATCTCTGTTTGTTGTTTTATAAGGTTAAATTAGATCTTTTCTACATGAGCCCAATAGTCTGAAAATCACGTGATAAGACCCGGTTTCCTATCATGTGATCGGATCAGAGCATCCCTATTAAAATTTGTGTGTTCATAACAGTAATGAATGAATGAATGAATGTGTGGTATAGTTTTATAGAAACAACCTTCCTCCTCTGAAGGATGACTATAGTTCAGACATTTCTGAACCCCAATGAAGCCTGTTTTATGTTAATTTCTCTTCAAACAGAGTGAACAAAATGCACTTGCTGATTTTGTTTTGAGCACCGGCCAGCAGTGTGTTCAGCCATGTAACGCTGAAATGGGATTGATCGTAAACAGGATGGGCTGACACTCCTCTATTCTCTTGTGAAATCCGCCCCAGGACAATGAACAAATCCTGCACAGAGGTTCGTCAAGGCTTCGTTAGGTGTTGGACATTTAGCCAACTGTGCCGGGCTGGCTGGGAAGCCCTGTTGATACCCACAAACCGAGATGCAATTATAGCTGAGTTGGGAGGAAGCACGCTTTGATAGAAAAGCAAGAAACAGCTCATTTGTTGCATTCAAAAGAAAAACCGGAGTTGGCCTTTTTCAACAGAAATTACTTGGCTGAAATTTTTTGTTTAATTTGCATTTTTCTTCTTTTGTGTGTGTGTGTGTGTGTGTGTGTGTGTGTGTGTGTGTGTGTGTGTGTGTGTGTGTGTGTGTGTGTGTGTGTGTGTATTGGTGTTTGATAATTAAACTTACCAATTTGCTAAAGCCATGGGACCATTTTTTTCTCTCGTGGATTTATTTAGCTAATAATATTTGGCAAAAAGAATATTTTTATTTTATTTTATTAAAAACCATTCCAGCTTATTTGACACTAGGACTGACTAAATCTGAAATTCTTGCTGTAAGAAATTTTGAAAAGAGTCTTGCTTATTGATTTGCACTGTTACCTTTTATGTAAAATAAATCGGAAAATATTCAGATTCACTCCACGTGGTTTCCTGTTTGTAATGCCCTAGCCCTTTTAATACACTGAGTCACTTCTACCATGAACCATTTATCCTTGACTTATTCTGATGATCGTATTTTATTTTAGTATTAGTGTGAATCCTAAAAATGCCTTTTTGTTGAGCACACAGGTCTGTCAGCTGCTTCTGTGCAACAATAGGGATCTCGAAAACTAACACTTGGTGTCATGATACTAAATAACCGCCAACACAATGATTCTTAGGGAAGAAAATGTGCTTTTACCTAGTTTTTCTTGTTTTGCAAAAGTTTCGTGTTGCACACGCTTGCACAACAATAAGTAAAATTTAAGCTGACACTTTGATATTTATTTGTTCCTGTTTTTTTTTTTTTTTATGTTTTTTCCCTGTTTTTGCAGGTGACCCTCAGAGAGAGACAGATGTGTAACTCGGTGAAAAAACATTTGCATCTCCCTGTGGAGATTTGACTTCTGGGAAGCTGAGGTAAGTTTTGTTTCTCCACATGCAGATATGAATTTACAGGGAGTCTATGACTACGTTTACATGCAGCCAATATCCGGGTTATGATCGGGTTAAGGTCGGTATTCGGGTTTCTGAGTTGATCAGAATAACCCGTTTACAAGCATAAATAGAAAGAGTTACCCCTAACTTGCATAACCCGATTTAAATGCGGACGTTGGGGTAGCGTCAGGACGTGTGGACTACGTCCAGACGCAATATGCGTCATTTCCGGTTCTTCTTGTTCCGGTATCCGTGAAAACAACAACATGTTTCCCAGTTCAGAAGAGATGGCGACCGCGTTTGTTTGCGCTTTAGTTTCCTCGTCACTCCAAAAGTGTGGTGCTGTGCCGCGACTCGCCATGTTGCTCCCAACTTGTTGTTTACTTCTGGTGTTCTGGCGCGTACAAGACGTCTCGCTACTCAAAAGACCAAGATTCCTTGCGAACAGAGCATGCGCAGAACACACGCTTTGATGGGGATATCCCGATGTGCGTTTACGCGACCAAACATTCGGGTTAGAAAAGGGTTACCCCAGGTGTAGTAACCGGGTTTTTAAAAACCCGGTTATGAGCATATCCGGGTTTTTGGCGGTGTTTACATGGACCTGCGGAACCGGGTTATTGTGAATATTCGGGTTTTAAAATGGTTACTGGCTACATGTAAACGCACTCGTCTCCTCCCCTTTTGGTCGGCTCATGGGTCCCCTGTCAAAAACATAAAATGAATATTAAGTAAGTAAGTGAACGGGGCTATAATAGTTGTTTTCTGGTTTGCATTGCTTTATGCCCTGAATCACATATGTTGAACCTCAATTTAAGTGATAAATACTTTTGTGTGTTTTGACTATGTGTCATGTAATTAGAGATTTATTTACTTACAAGTGGCATTTTATCTAGGTTCTGTTTTTTTTTACTCTTAGGTTATATTTGTCACTATTTTTTACATGCCACCCACCTCTGGTCAAAAACCTTTTTCGTCCACATTCTGATGTGTTTTGCCGAGACGTGCTGCTGGCCCCCTTTACAGGGATGTAAGAAAATATCGATATGGCAATATATCCAGATATTTTTTCCAGCAATATTATATCAATATTCAAAAGCCGTTTATCTAATTTTTGGAATAATTTACATGCAAACATTTGGGTATTTTCTTTTCTTTTGGTGCAATTCAAACGCCGAACGATAGTTGGCAGCAATTTGCAATGGGTTTTGTTTCCACCACTGAAATGTAAATCCCTCTATTATAGTTCAGATACCTCATGTTAAACATGTTAAGTATCAGTTTGGACTGTTAATTGAAATTTTCCTATAATAAATTCAGTCTAAAACACTCACTAAATCACAATTTATACATATTGTATTGTATTGTCTCCCCGTATCGTGATACTTATCGTATCGCCTTAATTTCACCAATACACATCCCTAGTTGCTAGTGTCGGCTCGTAATTCTCAGACACAGGGCCTTTCCCATCGGCAAAATGTATGGAACGACATCTGATCTGGATATCCAGAGTCAGATTAGGACCTCCTCCAACAGCGATGCTTAGTTCCGTCCTGTTTGAACATCTTTTGGAGATGAAAAAACAACTTTGAGATGAGCAGAGCAACTCAGATCCATAGGCACCCATCCAAAATACACACTTGCTAACATTTCAATGTTACGTTACAATCTATTTTTAGCTACTGTAGAATATGCATTAAAAAGACTACAAATCAGCAGTTGCATATACTACATCACAGCAGAATCACGTCTCCCCATCGTAGCTGCCGCTGACCTGGTTTATAGTGCTTTTCTCTACTTTTAATGCTCCTTTGTTTGTCCTGAAAGAACAATGTGAAGCTTGCTAAACTCCCAGCTATTTTTCATCTTTTTCTTCTTGTCTGGTTCTGTGACGTCATTTTGGTTGAGACGAGTAGTTGCGGTCCACTACGTCTTTTCAAACCAAACTTAAAATAACCAGTTGAAAATAAGCGCTTTCTTGGCATCAAACTGTGTTTTTAGAAATCCACGGCACATATACAATCGGAGCATAAAATTTTATCACTCCATAGACTCTCTTTTGTATTTTCTGACAGTAGGGGACCCATGGACCAGATGGGTGTGACTTAGGCTCCCCGCTCAGGTTAAGCTTTTGTTTTCTCACACTTTTGCTTTTGTGCCACCCGTATTTTTCTTGTTTGTTTTTTTGCACCATAAAATGAACAAAAACCAACAACTGACAAATGTATGAAAACAACAGATTACCGTCTGATGTTATCAGCTCCCGCCTGACACCTTTTATTTTATTCCCTACTTTAGAGATTATTTTCCGTTCACTAAATGAACAGTTGCTGTCTGCAAATATTCAACAGTGTCTCAGAGTCCCTTGACAGCTGTTCCCATGGTAACCTATAAGCCTGCCCCATCGTAGGAGAATTTCATCTCCTTAAGTCTTTGACAGCTTGACAAGCCGGAGGAAATGAATGAGTCAGCTTTTTCTAAGGGGTTTAGCAAGCTGACTAAGTAGGGACTTTCACTTCACCGGCTCATATTTAGGAAGCAAATTTTGTCTAGTTGCTATAATTATTCGCTTCCCTCTTCCAGCCCAGCATTAAATTGGATATCCTGCTCCTCTGAGCTTCTTTTGTCGTTTTTATGCTTATCTGCACTGCACTAGAGTTTTTGTGAATCATTTATGATGGGTTCGGTTTGAACTGTAACTAATACTGTACATACTGATGGGGAATGTTTGCATGCCTCTGACGTCTAGCGCAGCAAACAGTCCAAGTTAAATATTTGCCTCTGGATGTGGATTAAATCTAAACCAGTCTGTTTATTCTAGAAGAAAGGGCAAAGTTTTCTCCCTGAAAACAAGATGCATTTGTATAAAGTGTTGACATAACTGCACAACTCATGATTCAACCTGCATAAAATTGCATTAAGCCTATTTTAGCATCATGGTTCTTCATTTTGTGTGATCTTTACTGACATGTGCATGCACGCGCACAGTTTAAACTTTTTTCTGGGTCACTATTTGTTGTCGTTTCAACATTAAATCTTCTCAGTGGCCTAGTGGTAGTGTTCAGAGCCACGTGTTCCTGCGGTGTCCGTGAGGGCGCACAGGGTTGGTTAGGGTTCCTCCTACGTCCGTCACAGCAGTGGGTGGGGTTTGAGCGGGTGCGCTTTACAGAGTTTTGGGGAGGTTTATTACCGGAAGACGAGATGAACGGCTCTCTACAGGGACTCTGCTCTCATCGTTCACTTTGAAAACCCGTTCAAAAGATTCGATTCGTTCGTGAACGTCACATCACTACAGATTACTCTGTTTGGGCAAACAGACATGACCGGCCTGTCTGTCTGTAGTGTCATAACAAAAATTGTTACTTTGCTGTTGCAGGATTCCCTTCTGTGAGAGCTTGACAGGTGATGGAAATAAAAAGTTTGTTTAAATGACAGCTTTTCCAGTTTCCATGGAGTAGTCGTCATAAAGGAGAAGCTGAGTCTTTTTTGTTCCAGGTTCCTCTGAAGGTTTAGGAATCGATTATAATGGTCTTTGATGGGTTGTGTTGTCAAACCATTAGGAAGGCTGGCCTCGATTATAAGCACCGGTGTCCATCTGCTGTTACATAATCATGTGTGAGTGTGAGTGAACGGTTTATCAGAAAACCGTTCACTCTGAATCCAAACTGCATCCTGTGGCTGTTCACCACCTCTCAGTCCAGCCGTCCACTCACTCACTGGCTGTCCCTTTGTGGAGACGCGCGTCTCATTCGGAGCAAACTGTTTAAAATGAGAATATATTTTCCATGGGAAGTGGCTGGACGCTTGTTATTTTTGTGCACTTTGCTGAGTCTAATTTTAGCACCTAGATGCTGAGAAGAGGAATTTGGTGCTCTTGCAGTCCAGAGTAGGAATATGTTTAAAGCACCTTGTGTTGCATTTCTGTTCTTCATGGTGAAAAAGAGAACGTGTAAGGGGGGAGCTTTCGTTAATGGGAAAGCATTTAATTGAATTTGATGTGAGTAAGGAAAGCAGGCTTAAGCTTGACCGTCTACGGTTTGAATTACCAAGGGACATCTCCCATGATTCCCTCTGAGGGTTCCCGTCTTCCTACATCCAAAGTGACAGGTTAGTGCGCTGGAGTGACTCGTTACGTAACCGCGTGTCGAGTATCTCACAGAAACAAGCTTGTTTGTTCACGCCTGCAGATTATCTGCCTGTATCATCACCCGTGTTGTTTTTGAATCATTTTTATTATTGCAGTCCTCCATGATTAATATTCTATCAGAATCTGTGATCATTTTATTAGAATGGCCAGGCCAGCCTGAGTAATGTCTGGTGCTCTTTAGTTGCTTATGTGCACTATCTGTGCTTAAGCATATTCTCTTTTCTTGTCCTTCATTGGTGTAAGAATTAGGGATGTGTATTGGTGAAATTCTGGCAATACAATATGCATCACGATACGGGGGAGACGATACAATATATCACGATATATTGCGATACATTCAGCCAGACAATAGTAGCGATTTTTTTAGACTGAATCTATTGTAGGAAATTTCATTAAACGGTCCAAACTGATACTTAACATGTTTATCGTGATGTATCTGAACCATAATAAAGAGATTTACATTTCAATAGTGGAAACAAAACCCACTGCTGCCAACTAGAAGTCGGCGTTTGAATTGCACCAAAGGAAATGAAAATACACAAATGATTGCATGTGAATTCTTCCCAAAAGTCGATACACGGCTTTTGAATATTGATATAATATTGCAGGAAACAATATCACGATATATTGCCATATCGATATTTTCTTACATCCCTAGTAAGAATATACATCCTTGAAGTTTAATCTCATATCACCTCTATCACACAACAGATCTATAAATAAATAAAAGTGGATAGAAATGGAGTTAGATGGGTAATGATGAACAACAGAGCTTGGACGCTGTCCCTCTTTCTTCAGTTTGTCTCTTTCTGTTCACCAGACATCCAGAAGGAGGTCTCTGGGGAAGATGCTGGGTTCAGAGCGCGGTGTTGTTGAAGAATGGCTCTCCGAATTCAAGGTAAAAACCTTCTCCTCTTCGCCGTGAAGCGAAACACGCTCCGGCAGACAATCTGTCAAAGAAACCCCAAACTGTGGGTGTAAGAATGAGGTCTACTTTGCAGATTTGTTGTGGGGGGAAACAGCATGAACTCATGCCAGGTCAGGTGTCCGTTTGCTTCATCAGACACTCATAAATGACCCAAGACTTGATTTTGCCAGACGTGCTTAGTGGAGATGTCCGTCTTCTTGTAAAGCCCCACGGGTCATAGCCGCTCAGCTGACGAGTGCACTCAGAAAAATATGGCAAGCTGTTTCCTACGTTTTAAACACACTGCAGTAAAAATGCATTTTTTAAGCACTTTGATTTTTAGCTTTCAATTCCTTTTCAAGAAATCCTGACTTGGTTTATTGAAATTATAAAATCCTAAAACGTAAAAATATATCCCAGAGTACAAAGTCATCTGAACGGCGACACTGCTTATCTGACCTGTGACGGTTCAGATTTGAACAAAGATACATTCGAGAGATTATTGCCTTACAATTTCCTCATAAACTTAAACAGTCAATTAAATCATATTGGAAATACAAAAATAAACAAACGAAAATAGCAGCTTTCCTCACGTTACAACAGCTTCTTAAGGTGAACAGAATTTGGCATGGGTGTGATGGTGTTACTTTAGACAGAAGAGAGGACCGAATCAGAAACCAGAAGAAGTACCAGCAGGGATCGTTTGAGGACAGATCACAGACGTGTCTGCACCAAGGTGCCATGCTGAGAGGCCATCTCTGCAGACAGAACTCAACCTTCACTGTTCAAAGTTTGCCATTCTGGGATATGTTGCTCTTGTCAGACATCATTAACATGTTGAATGAAGTGCTTTTAAAGACTGATTTTCTTTTTTTTAATCAAAATAAGCTATTTTGTGTTTTGTTAATAAATTCATTCAAGTTCAGGTTTGACCGTCAGTTTTCCTCTTTTCATTATTAGAGTAATAGCTTTTCATGTTTTGATTGTGTGATGTCATTTCCTGTCATGGTTTAAAATGTTACTGTCTATTGTGAATGACGTGCTGAACCTTGATTTGACAAAAATTGTGAATTGAATAAATGTTGTAAAACACTGAAAAACCATTTTTGAAATCTTATTTCTGATTATAATCAGTCGCCCTGGGTTTTTCATGCAGGCTGAACATGAAAATAGTCTCCTACACCTATCTCCTGCATTAGCGTCTCATAGAAAATAGACTGCGAAATGCTAGGATTAGAAAATACCGACAGATCTACGTCACTGTCACTTAACATTTATGGACTCATCCATCTTGACTCATGGCGGGGAAGGCTGTTGTTGGTTTGGCGTCCAGGAAAAAACAGAGAACATCTTGGATAGTAGAGGCTAACCGTTAGCATTAGCAACTCCACCACACTGCAGAACTCCTTCAAGCTTGTGCTATTTGTGCAGATAAAACATCAACGTTGCAAGTCAGTGGTAGAGTTGTGTTGCTGTTAGCCAATCAGAGGAGAGATGTCCAAATATCAGGAAATTAGACTCCAAATCCTGCTGTCTGAAGCTCACCTCTGATGTGGCTTACTTTTCCTTCCTGAAACTGGTGCACTGGAGCTTTGTTTCCCCAGAATGTGACTCACAAGGCAGCCTTCTAAGGTCCTAAGCCAAGGTGGGCCAGACTATTGATGCAAATTTTCCCAGCGATGTAGATTTGTGTGATTTTTTTTTTTCTGACCCAATCCTTTTTTCTTCTATTTCCTTTTGGCAACGGGGTTCAAGACTATTTTCTCGTTCAGCATTTGAAAAAGATCGTATTACACAATTTTTCAGTGAACAAGACCTTTAAGCTAAAATTTTATGTGGAAGTAGCTGATAGTCCATCATGAAACATACTCTGAGAGCTAACAAAGATCATATCATTTCAAGATTGAACTAAGGCCTAGTCCACACGTAGCCGGGTTTTTTTAAAAACGAATATCCGCCCCTCCAAAAACTTGCATCCACACCACCTCGTTTTAAAAAAGAACTCTGTCCACACGTACCCGGATAAATACGTTGTTAAGGACATGCCAGACCTGTAGGCGGCAGTACTTCCCTCGTTCTTAACCTCGTCCTTCGTCTGTGGTCTTCCGCAAGGAGCAGTAATTCCGCTTGCAGAAACAAACAAGCAAAAAGCGCTTGGACAATTGATAAAGCGAGCGCAGCTCTGAGGGCATCCATGCTGTCGGCTAGTGTAAACACAGGTCGCACACGTGATGTCAGCATTTGTTTTGTCGCGGAAAGTGACGTTGCGGACCTTAAAACTCCGGTTTTGTCTGTCCACACGCAGACATCCAAAACGAAGAAAACGCAGATCTTCACTTTGGCCGGAGTTTTTAAAAAGATTCGTTTTCGTGTGAAAAAACTCCGTTTTCATGTGGATGACAGGCCAAAACGTAGAAAAATATCTACGTTTTGGCAGATCCCCGGCTACGTGTGGACAGGGCCTAAAACTACCAGAGAAGTTGTTTTTTTTTAATCCACCATAAAATGCAGCAGAAAAATATGCATTTCTTCAATGAATGCTGGGCTCTCAAATAAAAAAGCCTTGTACTCATATTATCTTCTGTGAAAACATAAATAGGTTTGATGGGAGGCAAATTGGCCAAAAACTTTGTTTGTTGTGAAGTTAGTCGTATGCAGAAATGTCAAGGGTCACAGTTCGGTCACTTTGTGTTCCTCTCTGCTCCAGTCCTTACCAGAAACCCACATCCCCAGCTACGCCGGCAGCCTTCATCTGAAGAAGTCCCTGGTTCCAGCGCTCTACAGAGTCATCCAGGATCCCGGCAACGAGGTCTGAGAACACGTGGAGTTCATGTTCTTAGCTCGCTGTCCTGCCAGTGACTCACTTCATGATATCTGACTTGGCATTGAGGAAGAGGCTGACACTGTCTGCAGGATGCACACATAAAAGTGCAAGCTTGTGGTGTTTGTGTGTGAGTGTGGCGAAGGGTGCAGTGGCACTGGTAGCTGCATCACCTGCCAGAGAGGACATCATGTTCCCAGTGCGCGCGCACACACACACACACACACACACACACACACACACACACACACACACAGATATGCAAGTACAGACACACACAGGGCTTTGAAAAACAAACCAGAACATCTGCTGCCCACACCAGATAAGCCACACTCTCCGTCACATGGCAATACACAACCCCTCCTGTGCATCAAAAACTAGCATTTTTCTTCTTTTATTTATTTATTTATTTATTTATTTTTGTCTTTGAAGGATGCACAGTTGTCTTTAGCAACAGACTCACACCGAGGCTGGACTTTCCACTAATGATGCAGCTCTCTCTGCCACCGTTTCCCTTCCATTTCACGGTCAGATTTAGGAGTCAAGCATCCAGGGATCTAAATTCCATTAGTGCCGTCAGTCTAGCTGCACGATCCCATTAATGACGAAACGGCCGATCGAGGACGCGTGGCACCACTTGCGTGTGTGTTTGTGTATGTGTGATGAAAAGGGGGGGTGAGGTTTTTGCTGATGCAAAGGAAAGCCAAACCATTGCCAAGTTTATTAATGAGCTCCTGCTTGTTTCCCAGTCAGCATCAGTACAACACACCGCCACACTTCCACAGCGGTGCTGTGTGGACAATCGTTGACCCCCCCCCCCAGACTGGATAAACACAGCAGCTCTGCAGACTCCCCCAGAGAATGCATTTCTTGCTGTGTTTTGCGTGAAGGTTGCAGCCTTTTGTGTTATCTCTGCTTCTTACTGTATTTTCCTCTCGTGCTGCAGCTGCTGGAGCCGGTGTGCCACCAGCTGTTCGAGCTTTACCGGAGCTCAGAAGATCGTCTGCGACGTTTCACGCTGCAGTTCCTGCCTGAACTCGTGTGGGTTTATCTGCGCATCACTGCCAGCAGGGATCGACAGAGCAATGGCTGCATCGAGGCCCTCCTGTTGGGCATCTATAACCTGGTGGGTGTTGCTTAAGGTACTCTGTGAAATAATGTTAAACACACTAAAACTGAATGGGAAACACGAAGCCCTGAGGAGTTGAGGTTATCGATGGTCGCGTGATGCTCATTCTAACTGTTGCAACAAGAAACGCCTACAGGATAGATCCCGATTAACAACTCATGTCTACACATAAATATACAATTTCCTCTGAAACCTGATTTGAGTGTCAGCAGTTTTAGAAAAGGTCCAGTCAGACTCTAGATGGTGGGACAACTTTGAGAATTAAGCGACTGGTGAATAAAGAACTATTTGCTGTAGAGTTTCAGCAAATCCTCATGCCTGCACTATACAGCTGTGGTGAGATCATGTGACTGTGCCGTCAGAAATGTGTACACGTGTGCTAGTTAACAGGTAAGAGACAGGGAATGCCTCAGGATTGTCTGTATAAGCAGATTTGATGATAAGTCGGGTAGTGAAGTTTCCACACACAGCTTGTGCTTGTTGTGTTTCACTTTAATTGAAAACTGCAGCAATTGACTCTTCGCATATTGCAGTATTGTTGGAAAAGTTACAGCACTGTGTTCCTTATACGTTAAAAGCAGTGGAACTTTGCAGTTTATGTAGACAAAAATAGTGATTTGAAGTAAATCATCTTTTACATCTTAAACTTTCCAGAAGATGGAAGTTAGGATGGTTTTATGTCGGAATACTTCTAAGGTGACCTGCAGGGAAAACACCCATTAATGGATAGGCTGGAGGTGGATTGCATCACTGGGAAACGCCCCCGGGAAAACGTGCAGAGAGCAAGAGATACCAACAGAAACAGCTCCATGTCAGCCGACACAGCTAAGGGCACACTCATGAATAATTTATTCCTCTGTGTCTATACCACTCAACACACACACACACACACACACACACTTGCAGCACACAGACGTCTCTCCATTGACGGCAGAAGCCTGATAAACAGCTTTGGTCTCAGAGGTTCTGTCAGATGTTCACAGATATACTGTTAACCAGCAAAAGGGTAGAACAGGCAGCCCACTGAAGGAGGTACGGCTGAAGCAGCGATGCCTGCTTGATGCACGTGGAAACAAACCTTACACCCTAAAAGGGTTTCAACATTATTTCTCTCTCATGTTTGCTGATGACACTTGTCTTTTTAAAGCACATTCAAACGTTCACAGCCTGTTAAAAACAAGCAAATGAAGAATTTTCTCATATTTCTGAAGAGTTCAAAGTTAAGTTTGTCTATTAATAATAAAAAATTAACAAAACACTCGTGCATACTGGATTTGACTGCAGGTGCATGAGTCGATCTAGACCTTTACAAGATTTTGGGAACGCTTCCTTTTACAGTCCCCTATTTACTAAGTACTTACATGATAATTACATAGTAAGTTAAAGTGCATTATTGTTTCTTTTCTAAAATGGTTCTTACCATGTAAGTACTTAGTAATTAGGGACTGTAAAAGAAAGTGTTACTGATTTTCAATCAAAACATTTTTGCAATTAATGAATATTTCACATACATCTTCATCTGCTCCTCTTTATGAAAGAGAAAGTGTTTATTAAGAACAGTATATCTATTTTTGCCAGTGATGTCACCAATTCTGATAGTCACACAAGTTCAGTAAGACATTGTAGTTACTTCTATTTACCATTATAATAAAATACATTTATATATATATATATATATATATATATATATATATATATATATATATATAAGTCCTGTTTGGAACTCACTACCTTCTTTCAGATCTTTTGTAGGGATGCATTCATCTTTTTTGTAGTTCATGCAACAATGTGCTACCTGCAGAATTCCCAAATGTTCCTGCTTGAATTTTTAATATAAATTGTTTTCTGTGTAATTTAGAGCATTTCTAGTTTCCTTTATCGATCGTGCCTTCCTGTTTCTTCATCCTTCTTTAACTTTTGCAGGAAATTGTTGACAAAGACGGCAACGGCAAGCTTCTTTCCTTTACAATCCCGTCTCTGTCAAAACCATCAATATATCATGAGGTAGGACTCCAGCTTGCACCTGTCTATGTTACAGAACACCTTCTGCTTATTTTTGATCTTTTTCCGCTCCTCCCCTCTTTTTCAGGGTCTAAACATTCACCAGGATGTAACAAATGTCTGTTATAATGAGCACCTTTAGGCTCATGATTTTCAAAGCTTTAATTAATTTTAAAATGTGAATTAATGCACATTTATGCAGATTTCTTTTAAATTGAAACGAAGAGCTTTAATTGATTCCACTTTTAGTTCATTTGGCTCTTTTGTGAGTCACGGTTTCCATCAGGGTGAGTTTGTGTCGGCTGTCTCAGTCGGCTTGTTGTCATTTATTACCACAATGTTTAAAAGAGCGTGTCGACCCGCCATCATTTCACCCTTACAGCCGGGTTTCTGTCCATTCTCACTCTCTGTGAATGAGTCTGCCTGCGTTTGTGTGTTGCTGATATAATTACAAGCTTTAGAAACTGGTGGAGAGTGATCAGTCATCCCTGCACACCATGGCTTCTATGTACTGGTACCGTACAAGCCAAGATAATATAATTAATAAAACTCAAAGGAGAATCGGAAGGTTGGAGGGATTACAGAAGCAGAGGATGAGATTATTTATAGTAAATGATTGTAAAAAGTAGATTTTTAGGGTAAACTTTGCAGGTTCCTCAGTAGAGAGGAACCTGCAAACACTAGCATTAAAAGTCCAGATTATTCCACCAACATCAACATTGTGCTTTTTTTTTTTTACTTCCTGGTCGGAAAAATATCGAGCGTTTATGTTTGTGTGTGTGTGTGTGTGTGCGTGTGCGTGTGTGTGTGTGTGCGTGCGTGCAGCCTTCTAGCCTGGGGTCCATGGCTCTGACAGAAGGCGCTCTCTGTCAACACGACCTGATCCGAGTGGTTTACAGCGGCCTCCACCCACAGAGAGAAACCTTCACTGCTCAGAACAGGTACCGCTTCTCCAAGAGCAACTTCCGCCGCGCCGTCCAAAACTATTCAACTTTTCTCCGTCCTGCTTTTAAGACGATCAGACGTAACCCTGGATGCTTGATCAGCCTCCTCTAGTCAGACCCTGTAGGTCTGAGAGCTTTTTTGGCTCCTGCACGCTAAATGATAATCTCTGCAATACAAAGAAGCAGTCCAGCAATCCTGCCAAAAAAGGGGTTTTCCGTCACACTCAAAGATGGACGTGTGTTTATTTGCGGTGATGGATATGCAGAGAGACATAAATCTGGGTTATCTGATCAGATCACGTGAAAGCAGCACAAATAGGGATTGTCCAGAGCAAAGAGCCACAATAAATGTTGATAAATGAGATGACTATATCTCAATGGCCTCGTAGCTTATTTGAGAATCCATTTGCGTGAGTGGGCCTTATCACTAAGAGCCTGAGAGGCGGGAGGTAAATGGCTTTGCTGAATGAGAATGCAGCAGAGTCCTTTATGGCCTCGTTCCTCAGACCCTTCATCAGATCACATCCTCATGCTCTTCAAAACACAATTAGGCAGGTAGAAGATTTATCTTCCCCCCAAGTGATCAAATCCAGCAATTAACATGTTGGATGTTGTGATTTGAGGAAACAAAAATGGCCTATAAATAATTTTGGTTGAAGTTGTCTGACTCATTTGTGTTTGCAGGTTCGAGGTGTTGTGTTTCCTTATGCTCTGCTACAACTCAGCCGTGGTCTACATGCCACTTTCGTCCTATCAGGCGGTCTGCAGAATGAGCTCACGGTGAGAAACGTGTCCCTTTGTTCTGTCTGTTTCCAGTTAGAAAGCATCCTCTTGTTTTTCAAATGAGCTTGAAGTCGGGATCCGAGAATCTCCTCTTGTTTCCAAGAAGATACGATTGGTACAATTTCATCTGAGCGCCGTTAATCAGCTCATGTGGTTTTCCAAATAAAACCCAAACTGCCGGGTACCTTTTTGTGTCCGTCTGTCTTGGAAACGCCAAGGCGCCCTGAAGAAAGGATCAATGTGTGATTCAGTGGGAGCTGCAGCTTGGTGATTGTTCCGCTGCAGCGTGCAGACGGTTCAGGATATGAGTCCAGCCTACTGCGAGCGAACAGACGACGCCTGGAGCAAGCTCGGACTGAACAGATGGCAAACAGAACATTTTAAATCGCAATGTCTTTGCTTCCTCACAGCGAACCTTACCTGACCTCGACAAGCACAGCGTGGTTAAAATAGTTGTTTTTAACGCGGATCCGTCTCATTATTGCTTTGTGTTGTTGTAAATAAAACATTTAATCAGGAAAACTCCTTTTTTGCCCTCTCCCCTCCCCAGAGTGTGTGTGTGTGGCTTCCCTCGACAACAACAGAAGCTGTGGAGGGAACCCTGCAACCGCGTGCTGCTGGATCCTGAGTTCATGGTGCAGATGTTGACTGCTGTTTACCACGCTATGTATGTATCTGTAAAACAGAAAAAAAATATTCTTGTCATGGATTTAGCTTCTAGTTTTAGTATTTCATCCTTATTGCACCATTTTCTCTACCTTTAGTTCATAAACCGGTACTAACAAGGGTGACTTTGATTTTTATTCTGCAAAACTACTAGAATCAGCACATTAGTGTCATTTTCTTATTTTAATTGGTCTATTTTAAAGCTGTAATTGTGATTTTTACAACTCTGAGACGGGCTGTGAGAATCTCCGGCCTTATGCTAGCTGTCCACGGTGGACTGAAGCCTCCCACGGTGCAGACAGATTACAGCTGCAGCTCAGCAAGGGAGGATGTGAGCTCATCTCCTTTCTAAGAACAGTTGTCGCAAAGCTGATTATGGCTCCTGATGGCAGGAGAACCTCAGTGACGGATCTCCTGACACGATAGCAACTGGACTTACCGTTAAGGTGGGAAAGGAGGAAAATCCATTCAGCCTGTGCGGGATTTGTCCGTGTGTGTGTGGAAGAAGGAGTGTTTTTAGTATTCTTCACCACGCCATAGGTCGCCTCGGTGCCATTTTAAACTCAGACACGCACGAGGGACAGAAATCACAGCTCCACTCATAGACGGACCTTGGCACGTGCAGAGGACGCAGCAGGATTTAGGTTAATATGCTGGCTAACGCTATGCAACAATATGTGTGCATGTGGACAGAATGAGAAGTGTGCATAATATCAGAACATCAGCATTGCAAAGAAAGGTTTGTGGGTTTTTTTTTCTTCTTCTTATCAAGTTCAATCTGTAGTCGGGGGCTTTTTCAGCCCTGACAGCATCAGAGAGTCTGTTTCTACCTGCCCATTCATGCCTTTCCTTTGATCTGGAGTCTAGAGGAAGCCCAAGAGCGTTTATTCCCGTCTGGGTGATTGTTGTATTTAAAAGACTGGATCAAAGAGTCGCCTCAACTCAACTGTGTTGAGTATTTTAATGCATTTTGCACATATTCTGAAAAACATAAAACTATGATGTTAATGCGTTTTGGCTTTTCGCTCATCATCTTTGATTAGAAATGATGATAATATGTGAAATTCGTTGTTTAACACATCCATGCATGCGCAGGAGACCTCCCTGAGGATTTATTAGGATTTACAAATTATTCCCATGTTCTTATGTGATCCCTCACATCTGCATTCAGCTGCAGAAATACTTATGATCTGCCATGTTTTGTCTGTCGATGATTAAAATGTCAACATTTCATTTAAAAGCAACAGAGTTATTAGAGAATGATGCGCATTTTTAGGCGCTAACAGGAATCAGTTTACTTTTCTCTGATTTCTACTGATTCGGGAGTGTCGCTGTGTAATCGCTCCGACTGGAAATGAGCTCCACCCTTACCCGGCGCAGGCTTCTTAAATAACTAAAAATAGTTCAGAGGACGCGAGTCCGACATCGGAGGAGCGCGTGAGAGACTCCAGTGTTTGTGTTCTAGATACAACGGAGAGTGGGAGATGGGACGAGAAGCTCTGGAGGATATCGTGTACAGGTCTCAGCTGGAGCTTTACTCCCAGCCTCTGCTGGTAAGAACACACGCAGTCCACTTCAATTATGGCGGCCATTTTTAAAAAAGACGTTAAAACGTTTCCTGCGTTCACCTCAGCTGGGGAACGCTATGAAGAACTCGCTGCCAGAAAGCGCTCCCGATGAGCCGAGAGGGCGCAAGGTGCTTCAGGTGGAGGTGACACCCACCATCAGTCGTATCTCCATCTCAGCAATCACCACCGCCTCCATCCGACGCCACCGCTGGAAGAGAGAGGGTAAGGAAACAAAGCCCCATTAATGGAGCAGGAGGTCTTTACCAGACTTTGTTTTTGAAAGAATAATTCTGAATCATGAGGAGACGCTCTGTACGTAAAGGGTGAGCTGGAACCTCACAGTTTGTTGCTTTTTCTTGAACCACGAAAGGCTGCAAGATGCAACCGTTGGGTGAGAAATGACTTGTGTGGTGTCTGTTCGAAGCAGCTAGAAGGAAACTCGTTTCTCTTCTTTCTAAATGTGACAGTGTGAGCGTCCTGTCACTGTGTCCCGATAGATCATGCGCCCTGGCTACTTGGCCAAAGGGATGTCCCTTTGGCTGACTGGTTAGAGCGTATGACTCTCACCCGGGAGTCTGGGGATCGAATCCCTCCTGGGCCCTCGTTTATTCACCTAGCCACATTTGGCGTTGTTGGCAGGATCCATGTAGTACTGTCAAGTAGGTCCATGGATGTGAAGTTTGTGGCAGCCTGCGCGGGAGCACGAGGACGTGCTTGTGGAAAGAGGGGGGAAGATGTGACAGTGTGAGCGTCCTGTCACAGTGTCCCGATTGATCATGCGCCCTGGCTACTTGGCCAAAGGGATGTCCCTTAAGCGTGGTTTATGCTTGACGCATTCACTTTCCGCGCGGTGATGCGGCTCGCGGATGGAACGCACTTCACAACTCGCAGCGTTTATGGTTTGTGCGGCTCGTCTCTGCGGTGAGCCAATATTCTCCCAAACTGTAGGGGGCAGCATGGAGCTCTACGACATGCATCCAACACTACACCATAGTAGAAGTAGAAATTACTGTTTACAACATGGCATTTCAGCATTTTTAACAGCGTCCTCGTCTTTTCCGACAGTGCGAGCTATTTCTCTCCAAGAATTATTAACAACATGTTGATCACGGTGATCTCTGAGAGCTGAATCATACAAATGTCTGTGTTTATGAACCTCTGCCATACTAGTTCTTGCCGGTCCGCCATGTTTTTCCGCGTCCGTCCGTCCGTGTGGTTAGAAATTTTCCGAGGTGCGCGTTGCGGAAATCTTGAGCCGTGCGGAGACGCGGTGGAGGGGCGTGGTTGTTAAAATGACGCAAAATGACGCTACTTTTCCGCGCGGAGCCGTGCGGACCTCGCGGACGCGTCAAGCATAAACCAACCTTTAGGCTGACTGGTTAGAGTGTATGACTCTCACCCGGGAGTCTGGGGATCGAATCCCTCCCGGGCCCTTGTTTATCCACCTAGCCACATAAACCAGTGACTTGATGTTTCGTGTGACTTCCTGTTTGTAACGGTGCTTGTTCCACCCACTGCTCCTTGTTTTTAATTTGCTTCTTTGTCTATGAAGCTCATCGTGTGCTTTTTTGTCACCAGTAAGTTTGAAAGCGTTTTCTTTTTTTGTTTGAGGGGGAGAATGAAGAAACAAAATGGCGCCGGTAGATGGGCAGGCGTAGTTTTCTACGCTCTCAGCCCACCTTAAGGGCCGTGCCCAGGTGGAGGCTCGCTCTAGTTGAAGCTTGCTGCTAATAAAGAAACGCATTTCCTCGTTTGTGTTGTTGACTCCCAGATTGTTTTGACCACTCAACCGATGCAGAGTTGAGCCTCACCATCAGTCCTCCTAGCCTCGCCCAGCTCCACCACCACCTCCACGACCCTCCCTGGGAACCGGCAGCTAAAGAGGATAGAAGGCGGCATCACAGCTTCCACAGCAGCAGCGGCAGCATCATTCCCCCCATCACACTTGAGGGTAGGGGATAGGGGCAGCCACTCTTAAGAGAGAGGGTCTCAGGATGAGGTGACCCTGCGACCTCCATCCTCCCGACCCTCCTCCTCCTACTACCCCTGCTCAGCTTGATGCAGTTAACTCTGCCGTTCCCATCGTTCCTGCCTCCTCGCTTCCCCAGAGTAAACTAACTCATCCAGCCAATAAGACCCTCCACCAACACCCCCTCCGCTCTCCAATCATTGCTACCTTCTGCTGTTTTAATGCAGACGAGTTTCCTATTCTGGGGTTGAAGGAAGTGTTGCTAGAAGCTGTTTTGCATGCGCCCATCATCATATCGCTTTTTTCTTTATTTTTTTATCAATCCTTCAACTTCAGACTGCTCCTCTTGTCACTCACTGAGCAGATTTACTATATAATTATTCTCATTAGACTATTTTTTCCTGTTTTATTAGAGAACAAATGAGTTTTTTTAATGCTGGCACAGAGATCACAGGCTTCTTGAGCCTTCTGCCCCTCGCTGTGTCTGAAAACACCAAATGTTTGGTCTCTCAGGCCATCAGCCTCCCTCTGCTGCAGGATGAGGATGTTCATTTTGAGTTTCTCAGTTCAGCAGCTTTGCTCTTTGCAAATCTCACTGTTAGTCGTCCCGTCCCGTCCCCCCCCCCCCCCCCCCTGCAGCTCAGTGAGTGGGAACGAGCCCTGCATGCACGCGACTCGGCGAGCTTCAGTGATTTTGGCTGTAACATGAAACCCCGGAAGCTTAGCATCTCCAGTGACAGGTGATCATTTTCTGATAGGAAGCAACGGCCGTTCCACTGCCAGGACCATTTTGTCTTTGTGTCAAATGTGTCTTTTTTGCATTTGTGTGTGCTTTAAAATCTTGAAACATCAAGCTGAAGGTTATGTTCAGTGTTTGTCTGAGCGCCATCGAGTTTTCTTCCAGCAAGATTGTGTTTGTGTTGGAGAGAAAACGTTTTAAAAACGCTATAAAAGTTAAATGCATCTGGCGATTTTGAAGAGTAACTGATCAACCGCTCTGCGTGTGATCACTGGTCTTTTAGAGAAAATAACTTCAATTTTCTTGGGACTGTGCATGTTTGAGCTTTTTACCTGCGTTCATTGAATTTGCATCAATTTTTTGCCATCCTTATAGGCAAGAATTATTATTTAGTTTGTTTTCACTAATGCACAGATATTTGTTTTGCCATTGAACAGATGCACCTTCAAACTCTGATTTGACGGCGAGCTGCGATATTGCTCACTTTTTTGTAGTTTTTTTATATCTGATGCAGAAATTATTAGAATAACATTAAAATGGATTTATTTGGGATTTAAAACATCTAAATTTCACATATTAGCCAGATTTTTAGGATATGTTTACATTTAGAGTGCTTCGTGTTTAATTATTGGTCAGATTAAGCACCACCAGTGCTTCCTTCTCACGATAATTATTTTTTAAATATACTTTATGTAGGTGTAAAACTGTGGCATGTTTTCCAGAATGTCCTTGAATGCACCATCAGGATTAAGTTTTACAGTGCTCCATGGTTTAATTAACACGAGTAAATGTAAACATTTAACTCCAGAAAACCGGTTAAAAGGCCAGTTAAGTTGGTGAAGTTTAGACTCTGCCTCTGGGAGTTTGCAGACGGTCCCATTAAGCCCAGTGGGCTGTCGGCTGGAACTGGGAGGCTACTGACGTAACAAGGGCTCGCCTCAGATTGGCAGGCTGGTCTCGGCTGGCCGATCCCGATGACGCCGCTCTGCGGGAGGAACGAGGAATGGGACGGGAGAGCATGTGTTATGTGCATGTCAGTTCAGACCCTTTCTTCTCGGTTCCCCATCTCCTTTTTTTTCCCCCCCCCGGTGCCATCTGTGGATCCCTGTGTCCAATTCTGCTTGTCCCAACGATGCATGACGGAGACAGAGAGGCTCTACCCTGCATCCTGTAGATCGAAAACATGCTTTTGTTTACTTTTTCTAACAAAATCTATTGTCTTTTCTTTCCCTTTCAGCTCTCATTGTGAGGCCGTGCAAAGATCAATAATCCTTTATTTATGAAACGCCTTCATGTCCATATTGTTCCTTTTATTATTAAAAACACAACACCGTTGGTCTATCACGTCTGTCTTCTCTGTTCCTGTTCAGATGCTGACGGCATGAGCGGCGGAGAAGATTCTTTTAACATCAACGACCCAGACGAGGGCTTTTCCTCGGGGGCGTCCAACAGCAGCCAGCCCAGCGGCACCAAGGGCGGCAGTGGCGTGGGGCCGAGGGGCGGCAGCCTGAACAGCAGCAGTAGCAGCATCAAGAAAGCCATCACGGCCCATCTGTCTCGTGACAAGGAGAGGGAGAAGGAAAGGGAGCGAGAGAGGGAGGCAGGGAAACAGGCGGAAATGTCGGTCGATCAGCAGGTTGCCGGGACGAAACCTCACCAGAAGCAGCAGTTGCCCCCAGTCGGCATCACCTTGGACGCTATCCACCTCAGTCCCATAAAGAAGCACCTGAGCTTCCCCGCGGGACCCCAGCTGGTGCGAACCGGCAGCGCCTCCTCCAGCAAGTCCTTCGACTGCATGAAACTGAACTCGAACGGGGGCGAGGACGATCAGGAGGAGACGGCAGGAGGCTCGGAAAGGGTGGGGCTTCTGGCGGGGGGGTCGCACCGCCTCTCCACCACGAGCCTGCAGGAGGAGCACCTGAACAGGCCCGAGGAGGCCCAAGCCCTCCTGAACACTGGAGCTCCTCTGACCAAGCAGTCCCGCTCACCCAGTTTCAACATGCAGATCATATCACAGGTCTAGTGCAGCACAGGAACACACACACACACACACACACTAAGTTCCATCTGACTTTTTGTTTGACCTATTTGTGTGTATGTGGAGTGGGACCAGATCTCTGGAGCTTTGTCTCTATTAAAACGTGACCTTCAGTCATCACTGGTGAGTTCAGCTGCATCCTCCACTCCAACCAAACTGAGCATTCCACACACAAACTCTCCTCACCCGGACAGAGTAACCGGAAAAATGAGGGGAAAAAACTCCCAAGGATCGTACAGTCGTCATAAGTCACTTATGACATTTCAGATCTATTTTTTTTAGTTCTTGACTGAATCAGTCAAAAATGAATCAGCAATAACTTGTCACTCACGTGGAGAAAGGTGGGGATTTCTCTAGTTTCCCATAGCTTCCCTCTCATTCCCGGGCTCATGTGCAATCACCCTGATTTTTGTGTTAATTTCTCCTTGGAAGCTACGTTTTAAATCGCAATGCTAAAAGAGTGATTTACTTTTTAGATTCCGGGTCAAGATCTGGTTGATTAGTAAAAACTGCTCTAGAGATTGTCTCGCCTCCAGCGTTTAAATCATTCCTGTGCAGCTACACAAGTAGACTTTTGTCTTGGGACCTGATTTTAAAGAGCAAGTCACCCCCAAATCAACTATTTTTTCCTGATAAACTATATAAATGCGTGTCTAAGCGTGCGGCAGACACGTGTAGTCAATAGTTTTGCACTTTAGTGCATTTTAGTTCAAATTAAAATTTTCTGCCTTAAACTGTCAGTGTTGTGCCGTTGTCAGGTAAAAACTCTTCACTGCATTTGAATTTAAATCTGCCACCGCTATTGGCTAAAGCCTGATTTATGCTTCTCCGTCTGCGTCAGTGCGGAGACACGCAACACCATTATCCATCCTTGCGTAGGGCTCCGGCAGGCACGCAAGTACGTACGGAGTCGAGCCCACTTTTTTAAACATCCGTCGAACGAGACGGATTACGCAAGCTTGTGATTGGTCAGGACGCCGCTGTTGTTTACAGCGCCGCCATTGCAAAGAGAGCCGAGGATAACTAGCGGCAGACACAGAGAAGCTTGGAGAATACCTCGCGAAAAAACTCTAACAATATGAACGTTTCATCCTCCCGTGACTGGAGGAGTGAAAAGATGCGCAGCAAGCGTTTTATTTGTGGACGGAAATGACAGGAAACGTGGGTTTAGAGGTGAGGAGCGCATGAAGCGGTGGGAGAATGAGAGACAAATATGTCCGTGTTAAAAGTCTCATATATACAAAAAACACAATATAAACACACTATCTTGGACCGATACATGACAGGATACCACAGAACAGCGCTACGCCCTCTGTTGTCCTGCCGGGCAATTGCTTTGCAACACTCTCCAGGAGAAGGAGAAGTATGAAAGCAAAACGCTTCCGTCAATCCGTGCGTGTCCGTCCCTTGCGGAGCTGACGGAGAAGCGTAAACCAAGCTTAAGAAGTATGCTATGATGTAAACTGGTACATTATGATGTCACAATGTCGTGAGTGTGTGTATTTGTTAGTGGCTCCACCCTCTCGGTCTGCTAGGCAACAGCATTTGTTGCATTTTTCAAACATGAAGTGGGAGTGAAGTACGCTTCTTGTAGGGGGTGACTTGCTCTTTAAATCTAAGGCTGAGTCTTGTTGATCTGCTGCCCTTTAAACTGCAGCTAAAGGCAACGACTGTATTTTGTGTTTAGTTTCAAACCGTTTAATGGATCCTTCCATGCTGTTGTCTCAGATGGTTGTTTGCTGCCCCCTGGTGGCTGGCAACATCATTTCCTGTTTTTGTTCTGATCCATAAGAGGGTTTCTTCTACCTCATCGTGTGTCTACCTGCCGCTCAGAAATGCTGAACTGAAGCATCACTGACCTGAACTCGTCCTCGCGTTTCAACACAGGTCTAGAATATTTCCCAATGATTATGTTTCTTTTTTTAATGTGATGATTTTTTAAGTGCAATTTTACTTTTGAAATCCTCACATGCATGGAGTTCTCTGCTGTGAAACGCCTGCGTCTGCACACGTTGCTTTCTAGCAAACATGCCGCTCTTGTCTGCATGTTTGGTGCCCTTTGCGAAGCTGTTTCAGTTGCATGAATCAGCCAGCAAGCCAAAACCCGAGTCTTGTCCTTGTCTTAGCCAGATGTGCCAACACACATCCTCCCTTTGAGGATTTCTCTTTTTTCTGTTCTTGATTTCTGCCCAGGTGTCTTATTTAATTAAAAGGCCTATTTTTATTCTGTGTTTGTCTGATTTTGGAGTGGAGGGGACAGAAAAAGGCCCTTAGATCCAGCTTCAACTTTTCTCATTTAAGTTTTTATTTTTCTGAATCTAGTGAGTGTGGGACTCTTGTAGCGTCACAATCGTTTTTTAGCTTCACATGTAAGTGACGTCGTTACTCCCAGACTGTGTACAGTAGATGTCAGCTGGTTAATGTACATATACTTCACTCATTCAGTCACCTGGTGCGCTTGAAGCCCTCGCAGCTGCCTTTCCCGACTCATGTCTGCTCGTGTTGTTCTTTCCGCGTTTCCTCGTCTTTCCCAGCTGGACTTTGGGGCTTTCCGAGTAAGCTGCCGCCCCGTCGCCGTGCTGTGTGACTCTCAGCGAGCCATGTTCCCATCTGCTGTATTTTTGCCATGAGTCGAGTGGCAACTCTTTTTTGCTGTATTATTTAAAAAGCTCGGTGATGTGTTTCACAACGTCCCGTAACGAGTACCGAGGTCGCCGGCAGTCTCGCCGACTCTGTGTTGACTCTGAGTAACAAATATCCCTCCGTGTGTGTTGTTGTTTGCATGTGATCAGGATGGAGAATGAACGCCAGCCTGGGATTGTTTGATGAAGATCTGATCAGTCATTCACAACGACAGAATAAGCTTCAATAAGTCCACCTTGTTTTCTTTATTTGTTGTGAACATGACTTTTTAAAGACGCGGACAGTCGCCGCGGCTGGTGAGCTCGGTTCATTTTCCACCCTGCATGTGAAAATGTTGTTTTCATGCGGTTTTATGCACTTTAATCCATCCACCTCTCTGGAGATAGTTATTGAAATGACATACGTAGATGTGTGTACACTCAGTGCAGGGTTTTAGTCTCTTGAAAGTAGTACTTCTATGGGATGTCACATCCAACACAAGGCTATTTTTGTTCAAGTCTAAGAGTACAGCTATTCTAATTTTTTTCTTTCAAAACCAAAAAAATAAAAAAATAAGTTATGGATTCTGGAAGGTCTCAGGAGTTTCTCAAAAAGCCACAATTAAAGAAATAAATATATATGAAGCAGCACCAAAATTTTAGTTCTCAATTGATTCTATGCAATGTTTTGCTCCCCTTCTGGTTTACTTTTGCTGTACGGGTTGTCCCAGTCGGGTGGGAGGAGCTACAGATTAGCTATTGGAGTCCCCCGGTTCTGTTTAAACGCCCGGCCGTTGTGCTGCAGAGCAAAGATCAGCTGATGGGGGGTGAAATACGTTTTGGTGCATGGTGAGCCCTCCGGTCCGTTTGCTGCTCTGTGGGTGTATAAAAAAATAAAATGTCTAATCTAGATGCTTCAAGGGAAGCTGCTGGATAACACTGTACTAATTATGTATAAATGGAGAAAAAGACTTATTTTAAATCTTGTAAATAAAAAATGTATAAAGGTTAAAGCAAGAAAAATGTAAGTCTGAGATGTAGAGATGAATCTGTATATTGTTGAATAAATATTGTGGCGTAAATGATCCTTGTGTTTGTTTTTGCGTGGGATTTCATTTTCATAATTCGTCTTACGCAGTTTTTAAAGTTAAAGTTAAAGTCCCAGTAGTTGTCACACACACAGGTGTGTGTGCGAAATTTGTTCTCCGTATTTGACCCATCCCCTGGAGGAGCGGTGAGCTGCAGACAAGCCGCGCTCGGGAACTATTTGGTGGGTTAACCCCCCAATCCAACCCCTTAATGCCGAGTGTCAAGCAGGGAGGCATTGGGTACCATTTTTTTCAAAGTCTTTGGTATGACCCGACCAGGAATCAAACCGCTGATCTCCCAATCTCAGGGCGGACACTCTACCACTAGGCCACTGAGCTTTTAAAGATATCTTTCAACCAAGGAAATGTTTCTGCAAAGAACAACGACTTATTCTGGAGAATTCAGGGTTTATTTCTTTGTTTTTATCCAGAATAAACTACAGATCCACGTTGGTAACGGATTCTTTTACTTTGTACTTTTATTTTAGTTATTTCAACATTTACTAAGATTATTTTCATGTGGTTAGGACCTTTTGCCTTAAATAACTGACTTGACATTTTAATGCCGTTTAACAGAGAAACACCTCTGTGTAGATTGTATGACCATCTAAAATATCTAATAATAATTTATTAAATGGGATTCTATTTTGATATTGATTTAGTTCAGGGGTGTATTCCAAGGAGAGGGCCAACATTGTCCGTAGTCCTCACAGGCCACAAAAATGATTTTTTTTTTCCAGTTATTTCCAAAAATGTATATTATCCATCCATCCCTGGGTTGGGTCGTGGGGGCAGCAGCCAAAGCAGAGAGGCCCAGAGTTCCCTCTCCCCAGCCACTTGGACAGCTCCTCCGGGGGAATCCCAAGGCATTCCCTGGCCAGATGAGACACCAACTCCCCACCGTGTGTACTGGTTCTTACCTCGGATCTCCTCCTCGGTTGGACGTGATGAGAAAACCTCACCAGGGAGGCATACAGGAGACATCCGAGGCACCTCAACTGGCTTCTCTTGATATGGAGGAGCAGCGGATCTACTCCGAGCCCCTCCTGGATGACCGAGCTTCTCACCCCATCTCTAAGGGAGAGCCCAGACACCCTGAGAAGAAAACAAATTTCAACCACTTGTATCCAGAATCTCATTCTTTTGGTTGCTACCCAAAGCTCGTAGCACTACGAGGGTAGGAAGGAACGTAGATGTACCAGTAAATCAAGATCTTCGTCCACCAGCTCAGCTCTCTCTTCACCACGATAGACCGGTACAACACTCGCTTCCCTGCAGACGGCACCAATCTGCCTGTCGATCTTCCGCTCCATCTTTCCCTCACTCGTGAACAAGACCCCGAGATACTTAAACTCCTCCACATGAGACAAGACCTCATCCCTGACCTGGAGAAGGCATTCTACCCTTTACAACTCAAGACCATGGTCTTGGATTCAGAAGAGCTGATGTATTTTATGGCTACAGCTTTTTTTTTTTTTACTTCCCAAAATAGGTGCATAAATAGGCATATTAGTAAAAACAGAAACACAAAGTTCTACATCAACATCCTACTGGAGGGACAAAATACCATTCTAGAAGTGCAAGTGGAAGACGCTCTTTCTGACCTGATTAAGACAGGCTGCACGGTGGATCGGTTGACAGTCCTGTTGCGTTTTCCCCTCATGCATGCCCAAATACTCGCGTCTCCTCCCACAGGCCAAAAACGTGCATGTTAGGTTAATTCTCTGCGTTGTTTCTGTCTTGAGTTGTCTGCTACATAATTTAACACATTACAGAAAGCCAACTGGGGGTTTTGGAGATGAGGCAGAGCACGTCACTATTTGAGAGGCGCACTTAGTTGTGGCTAATACTGAAGTATCTGCAGACAGACACACTCTCTTTCCTTGGCCTTCAGAGAAAATTAGCTCAGAATACCAAACTTCCGCGCTTTAAAAAATATTTTGACTTTTTCAGACATGCCTCGGACATCCGAGAACAGAGCCAACGATTGAGCGGCTTCTGTGGGAGAAATTTGGACCAAACATGGTGTGTGTTTTTGTCAAGAAGGTGACATATCTGTAGAAGGGTTGCTAAGGTCTAAAACTAAACTCATCAGGTACAGTGAAGGTATTTTGGCCAAGAGTGAGATAATCTGTAATTGTAAATTTCATGCTGAGGTGAAAATTGGAAACATCAAATCCTCTCGAAGTGATGAATCCAACTTAAGGCGCCACAGAACTGAAAGTCATTCTTAAAATTCAAGTGGAAAATTGTTCAAATTTTTTACTTCAGCAGAAATACCGATCTGGTTGTAGTTACAGTTTAAAGTGCCACCTGGCCTGCAGCTGCCTTTTTCAGTTTTGCTGCAGGCTGCTCATCTGCTCTGACATCACTGATGCAGAGCGGAGACTCAGCCAGCAGCAGCCTCAGCACCGACTGCGGAGGCTGCTCCCACTGACCAGCAGCCTGACTCGGATCACATCAGATCAGCACAGCTGAATCACCATGGAGGATGAAGTTCCATCACAGCTGGTTCATTCTCTGGCGACCAGTTCAACTTTTAAACACTTCCCTGCCTCCCCTTCTTTCCAGCATTGTGCCTTAATCTCCTGGATCAAGAATAGCATCAAGAAGAAGGAGTGTGACTTTTTTCAGGCGGATGTCAGGTAGGTTGTCTGGGTTGGTTAGCTGACCTGGTTGTTGCTGAGCGATGTTGGAAGAATAATGCAAGGAAACTGTTAGAATTGCAGATTATTTTTTGAAATTTCTGCTGAGTCATAATGTGATTGAAGCTGAATATCCATCCATTTTCTGAACCCGCTTGTCCTTGTAGGGTCTTTTTGGGGAGGGTATGGTGCTGATGCTGAATATAAGCATTGTTGTAAATATTCATTATTAAAAATTATTTGCAAAAACTATTTTCGTGACCGATTTCATGAAGTGTGACATCTCAGAACGTTAGTCCTGTTAAGGTATTTTTGTGAAAAAATAATCAAATAAGGATTTTTGAGAAACAAATCAGCGCTTTTTAATTGTGTGTATATATTTTAGTAAAAATATGGCTGTAAAGACAAGATATGGAACATTTCCAGGCAAAACTGCTTAATCTGCACTTTGGAAATTGAATGGTGCATTTGCACACTGATGGATTTGTGATTAGATAAGATATTTTAATGATTTATCCTGTTTAACTCTTAGGGAGGACACATGCAAGTGTGGTTACTTGAAGACTGAGCATGCAGACAAAGCCATTAAGCCAGAGGATTACACAGGGGACACGTGGGACAGACACAAACACGTCCATGAAGTAACCACCGATGCGTTTGGGAACATCGTCTTTGGCGGTTTGGGGCATAAGATCAGCAAAGTAAATAAATTCTTGCTTCGTGCTTTAGTAATATTATGATTTAAATGCATGTCCTCATTGTTGTCTTCGTTTGTCCATTTCCAGTATGCACGAGTGTCCACAGATACCAACCCTGAACTGCTGTATAAGTTACTGACTGAACAGTGGGAACTTTCACCTCCCAACCTTCTCATCTCGGTCACTGGTGGAGCCAAAAACTTCTACCTGAAGGCTCGACTCAAAAATATGTTCCACAGAGGACTCATCAAAGTGGCTCAGACTACAGGTCAGCTAAGAAAATAGAAATCTTTTTGATGGAAATATTAAATATTTCTAGTAGATAAGGTCTAAGGGTTGATCCCTGTGGAACACCTTAGATAAAACAATGGAGATTTATGATTTTGTGGATGCATAAAGAGTTACTTGGCATATGCTACAGTTGTTTTGCTTACTCAGTGATATTTTCTTGTTTCCAGGTGCATGGATCATCACTGGTGGTACTAATACAGGTGTGATGAAGCATGTGGGGCAGGCTGTGAGAGATTATGGCCTGAGCTCATTGCAGGGCAAAGAGATAGTGGCTATTGGAGTGGCAACATGGGGAGTAATTCACAACAGGGATACTCTTGTGCATAGTGATGTAAGATACATACTTTTTCCTCACATTTGCATGTGGAAATATTAATGAGCTGATCCAAAAGTGGTGATTTTTTGCTTTTGTTTTTTTGCAGGGCTGTTTCCCCGCTCACTATTTAATGGACGTTAACGGCCAGGGCCGCCTGTCAAGCCTGGACAACAATCACACTCACTTTCTGCTGGTTGATGATGGAACACACGGCTGCTACGGAGTGGAGATTGAATTACGCACCAGTCTGGAGAAATGCATCGGCAGGAAGTCTCTTGGAAGTAAAGAAAATAATCTGCTGATCGTAGGCTGCATCTTAAAAGTGAACATTTCCACCATTTATTGATCGTATCTTTATTATTCCATGTTCAGACAGTGGTGGAACCATCCCGGCAGTGTGTGTTATTTTAGATGGAGGTCCAGGCACGCTGAATGTGAGTCATAGCATCCCTTATCCCTTTCTGTTTTGTTTCTACTTATCCATTTTCATGGGGGTGCCTTTTGTAAAGGTCAACAGTCAGAATTTAACAGCAATATTTTGGGTTATTTAACCTGCCAAAAAAGGGTACATTTTTCACCATGTCATTCATACAATTATAAATGTCACAGTTACTGAATATTTAGCAAATCAAACATTGAATTTGGAGCTAAATATTTATTTTGTAAACTAGACGTGTTGCTCCGATCTAATCATTTAGTGTGGATAAATATTTAATTTACGAAATTAAAAACTAACTAGTAGTGTCATGTTTTCAAACCCGAACACAGATGGATGGGAAAAATACATTGACATATAAATATTGGACAATGGGTTTCCATAGACTCCAATAACACGTTTTTGGCCTAAAATGGGAGGTGGCCACCACCGCCATTTTGACCGTGTTACAGGTTCCGTCAAGCCCAGATAATTCCACAAAAGGGAAGAGAGGTGGAGCTGAGGGTGGGGCTGTAAGGCTGGGATCAACTGACGACACCCGGTCGAACTAGCTACAAGCTAACCTGAAGCTAACCCAAAGCTAACGCGGAGGTGGGAGCTAAGCTAACGGAGGTAGCAACCTAGCTACAACCGGAGTTAACTGTGCACAACACCAGAGCTTCTGAGTCAGAGATACGCTGGGCTGACCGCTGGGTAAAACCGGGTGGAACACAGAGGTCTCCCGAAAGCTGCTGAAAGCCAGCAGCCCGCGCAGCAGATAGAAGCCGCGATCAGACAGAGGTGCGCTGAGCTGCGGGGAGGGGAGAACCGGGGGGAAAACATCGGTCTCCCGAGAGCTCCACAAGCCGATAGTCGGAACCCAGCTCCACCAACATGTTATATTTCAACCCATTTTCTAAAGTGCAGCATTATGTTAAATGCACTGGGTTTTACCCTATTACATTTAAATTTCATGGTTAAACAGTACATGTTAAAATCTAAGCTCAGCTCGGCAGTGACCTAAAATACATAAATATAATTTTACTTACCGAAATAAATGAAGTGGAGACTCCTTGGATGCTCTATTAGTGCAATTAATGCCACATCAAGTCATTTTGTCCAACAATTGCACAAAAAATATCCAAAGTCACGTGGGTCTGATGCTCATTAATTATACAGAATTTTAGGCTTTTAATACACTTAAACAGAAGTGAGAGAAAAATTCACCCCCCTCAGAGTTGTCATGAGTGTAAACTAGATCATTTAAACCAAAAACATGTTTTGGTACCAGGCTGTAAACATGTTTATTTCTGCTGTGAAATTGGTATTTTTAACATGGGAGTCAATGAGGATTTGCTCGCTTCTGACACCAGCCCCCAGCGGATGAGGGTGGAACTGCAATTTTTGGTACTTCTGGGTTGGCCTCAACTTTTGAGCCGCATTGTGGGGGCTTGGAAAAATAATATTTTATTTTGGAACAACGATAACTAAAGGCGCAAAGTCCAGTGGACTGGGAACGGAAATGCAACTTCTGGAGGGGAGAGCAGAGATAGGTGAGTCCTGGGAAGTAAGTCTAAACTGAATAGTGCAGAGTGAAGACTTACTGGGGTTGAGTGAGATTGGGGAGTGAGGGGAGGTAGTGAGCCGGGGTAGATCCAAGAGGGGAGTGTTCAGAGCTGGAGAGGGAGCGTGGGGTCGAGAGAGAGCGAGTCGTTCAGGACGGATGGATGATGAACGTTGCAGAGCGAGACGGTCCGGAGTCCTATGGAGTTGGGTGAGTAATCCTGATGTAACAAGAACCTGAGGAGGGTGAGCCAAAAGTATGAAAATCACACGAAACTAAAAATACACTGGAGTAACCCGAAAAAACCTGGAGACTAGAACAAGGGCTGGAAACTACCAAGCAGTAGTAATCATCCGGGGTCGAACTGTATTCGCCATCCCTCTTAAGTAGTCGACCCGCTGATTGGCAGATCAGGTGCAGCTGCCGCTCCCTCTCCTGCAAACGCACTCAGAGATATGTTGATGAAGAGAGAGTACTCACCCCGGCTCACGACAAGTAGCTCCAGAATATATTAAAATAAAAGCTAGATATTTAGTTTCCAAATTAAATATTAAGTATGCATGGTAGGTATTTAGGTCAGATTAAAGACTGATGGCAGAGAGGAAAATTATCTCAGCCTGTCCCAAACAAATTCTTGTTATCTGAATCTGACGCCCTGGTAGCCTTGAGCTGCAAGCAACTAAAAACCCCCATGAAGGAATGCAGACAGATGCTGTGAAAACCTGACCCCCCCCCCCCCCCCCCGGTCTTTGGATTGGTGGACTTCAGCCGGGCGAGGTCATCAACTGTAGGAGTCAATGTACTCTTTGCTTCTCCCAAGATCTCCCTCCCACCTGTGACTGTTCAGTAGATGGCTGCTCTTGCTGGGGTAAATAGGGTCTCAGCCCCCACCCCCCCTCCCCACCCCCCGCCTTCCTATTGGAGTCTCATGTTATGTTGTGTTGTCTGAAGTCTGTTGCATATCTGTTGAGGTGTTGTTTTTTTTTTGCAGAGCAGAGCTGCCCTCCTGGTGGGAGGATAACTGTGAAGTGCTTTTTTTTCCCCTCCACCTGAACCAATCCTCATGTAACCCTCTTATCTCTATTGAGGTAGCGCGACTCGGGTTGCGAATGACCACAGTCACCAATTCTTGTCATGTGTCTTGCCCATGTATGTCTGATCTCTGAATTGTGTGTACTGAAACTCTAATTTGATTGGTTGGTTAAAATGAAATAAAATAAAAAATTTAGGGTAGCCTTAAATTTTTGTTTTCGGAAATGATTATTTAATTTGCAAACTAAATATTTTGTTCATAAATTTAATATTTAGTTTGAATCTAAATATTTGTTTTTTTAAACTAAATATTATGATCCAAGCTAAAAACTAGGGGCTGGGCTGGCCTAAATATTTACTTTACAAACTAAATATTTAGTTTGTAAAATCAACATTTAGCTTTTAAAAGACATTTTAGCTAGACAAAAAGGTTTGGTTTGCACACTAAATATTCAGTTGAGATCTGTAACATTTTATAATGTATGAATGACTTGATAAAAATATGACTTTAAAAACTTAACCCCATACCCAAAATAATGCTGTTAAACATTGACTGTTTGACTTTATAAATTGCACCCCATACATTTGTGTCTCCTCTCAGACCATCTACAACACCATGCTGAATGGCACACCATGTGTGATTCTGGAGAGCTCTGGGAGGATAGCAGATGTTATCGCTCAGGTGTCAGGACTTCCTTTGAGTCAGGTCACAATCGCTGTCATCGATCGGCTGGTGGAAAAGTTTTTTTGTTCAGAGTATGAAAAGCTCTCTGGCAAGATACTTGAATGGACCAAAAAGGTTTGTGTACCAGTTAATGTGAATATATTTAAGAGTAAAATCCAGGTAAATTTTTAAATCGAGTTTATTGTCCAGATTCAGGACATCATTAGTTTGCCTCATCTGCTGACAATCTTCAGTGTAAGTGAGGACAATCATGGGAATTTGGACGTGGCCATTCTTCAAGCACTTCTCAAAGGTGACCCTGAAAATCTTTGACTTATCTTAATCCAACACAGATGGAGCATTTGAGTATGAGGATGGAAAGATGCAATACAAAATCCAAGATGACATGGTGCGGTATCAAATGCACCAAGATTGAAAACCTTCCACAGAATATCTGACACTAATGGACACATGCAGTTGAAAACAATAAGGAAGCCCAATCTATTTAGAAACATGCAATGCTTCTTCAGAGCACACCCAGCCCCATTAAAACCCATAAACATCAAGCCTAATGTATAATGTGTACCAAAGGCTGCATGTACTAAAATGTGTGTGTCCGCCTGATAGAATATCAGGTTTAGTTTGTGGTGATTTCTCATTCTTGCTCATTCAACACTTTGCTTTGGATATTTTGTCTATAACGTTAATTATGAAGAATAAAAATACATGCCAGGATTTCCATCTGAACATCATGAGTAATGCATTTAGCTGTTCTTATTGTCCGAAATGTTTATTTCTAGCTAAAAAAATAAATAAACAAACAAAATGCCAAATCAGGCCCTTTCCTGGTCCAGATTAAATATGATTTGAATATTTTTTTATCACACTAAACAAAAAGATTGTAAAAAGATGTGTTTTTTTTTTTTGTTTGTTTGTTTGTTTTTTCCATTTTCCATTTTTTCCATTTTCCATGGTTTGGTGGATTTTGGTTTTTTGGTGACTTGTACCATTTTGTTTGTTTTAATGTAGGTTTTGTGTTAGATTTAGTAAACAAGTAAAAATTACTTGTATAAAGGGGTAGGGACATAAGTTTCCACTTCAGCCTACTCCTTTTCAAACAGAGAAGAAGGGATGATGATATGTATTTTTTCTGTTTGTGGTATTTTTAAAAAAATTATGTATGTTTTCTTTGTTTGAAATAAACTGAACTAAAAAAAACAGGCAATATAATCAATGTACAGTACATGTTTTACTAACTAAATATTTTATTTACTAACTAAATATTTCGTTTAACTAAATATTTAGAATGTTTATTTGCAGAATACATATTTAAAAAATTTAGTTTGTAATCTAAGTATTTAGTTTACAAACTATTTTTTTACCCTCCACTCAGCTTCGAGGAGCAGTAAGTCACGAGGAATCGAGAGCTGGAAGAGACAGCTGGAGTTGGCTATAGCCTGGAACAGGGTGGACATCGCTGAGGCAGAGATATTCACAGAGGAAAGCCAGTGGAAGGTGGGTTTCCTAACTAAATATTGATACTATCAAATGCTTTCAGATTATTTAATTGTATTATATTTTTTTTAGTTCAGTGACCTCAACTGGGCCATGTTCTCAGCCCTAGTGGGCAACAAGCCCCAGTTTGTGAGTCTGCTGCTGGAGAATGGCGTGTGTCTAAGGGATTTCCTGCAGGATGAAGAAACTTTAGTTAAACTCTACAGACAAATGCCAAACTGCCTCTTCCTGCACAAACTGGCCCAGAGGGTTAGGAAATGTCATCGCTCGAAGGGGCAAGGATTGGGCAAAGGACAAAGCGGTCACACAGGAAGAGGAGAGCTAATCTCCTTGACTCACGTCTCTGAGGAGGTGCGCCACCTGCTGGGCAAATTCACCCAAAACATCTATCCTCCCTCCACCTTAACATACCAGCTGAACCTATCCGTAGGGGACACGTCAGAGTCGGTGAGTATGCTTGAACAGCTGTTTTACTGTGTTTCGATAAATCTGATGAACATTCTGTGGTTTTAGAATCACCCAATTTTTTGTCAATTCAAACTATTTTTACACACTGTCAAGCTACCCCACCTCACCCATGGTTGCAGATTTTTATGTCATCTCTTTTTTTTTCTTTCTTTCAGTTGAGTAAAGGTCAGACATCTTCCCAGGCTCCTCTCAAAGAAGATGGAGCTGAACCTCAAAGGGATGCTGGCAGAGACCTTTTTCTTTGGGCTGTGGTCCAGAACAACAAGGAACTGGCTGAAATTGCCTGGGAGCAGGTGAAGAAAACTCGTGCGCTGAATAAAATAAAAGAAGTAGTTCTTTTAATTTATTTATGGCTGATGCCTTTCTGTGTTTCAATAGTGCAGAGACTGCATTTCAGCTGCTCTGGCTGCCAGCATGATCCTAAAGAGTTTGGCAAAAGAAGAAACCGATGCAGACGAGGCGCAAGAGATGCTCAGACTCGCCAGTCATTATGAAGAATGTGCAATTGGTATGAGGCAGGAATTAAAAAAAAGGCTTTTCTTAGAGTATGCATATTTTATCAATATGACATTTGTCCCAGGTGTGTTCGGTGAATGCCATGACAACAACGAGGAGCGAGCTCGGAAGCTGTTGGTCAGGGTGTCACCGTCTTGGGGTGGAACCACGTGCCTGAGGCTGGCATTGGAGGCTGATAACAAAAGCTTTGTAGCTCAGTCAGGTGTTCAGGTGAGGTTTTAGGATACAGGTGCAAAATCTTCAATAAACTAGCCTGTTCTGACAAAAATGCTCATCTTTCAGGCCCTTCTAAATCAAATTTGGTGCGGGGAGCTCTCGGTTGACAACCCTGTGTGGAGAGTGTTGATCTGCATGATCTTCTTTCCTCTGATCTGCACAGGATTTCTCATTTTCAGGTTGATTTCCTAAATTACCCCACAAATCAACACTCGGGGCATGTCAGAATTACAAGCCTGCATCCCAGGAATTGAGCTAGTACGCAAAAAGTTTAAAATGCATTTAACATTTTGGTGCATTCATGTTGTCCTTTTGTGACTCTCTGCAGACGTGATGAACTCATCCAGAGACAACATGAGAAGACTGAAGAGATAAAAACAATGGAAACAATGAAAGGAAGCAGATTCAGGACAAGCCGTGTCAGCTTGTGTGTACACAATTTATGCTTCTTGTGTTTTTTAATTCCTCATACTGTTCATGCAAAATGAAAGTATCCTGGTATAACTACAGGCAGCAGGAAGTGAAGCCCCTAGGCAGCTGGTCCAGACTGGAGAGCTTCTACAATTCCACACAGGTCAAGTTTTACTGGAAGATCGTTTCTTACGTCGCCTTCCTCTGCCTGTTTGCTCTGGTGCTCATGATCGACTTCCAGAGGACCCCCTCTCCTGGAGAGCTGCTGCTCTACATCTGGCTGTTCACTCTGGTGTGTGAGGAGGTCAGACAGGTGGGTGGGACGGCCTCATTGGATGCTGTTTTGTGTTTGAAGTTGATTACAAAAAACAAACAAACATGAAAGCTGAAATCTCTTTTCCCTCTCAGCTGTTCCACGATCCTGATGGATTTGGGTTTCGTAAGAAATCCAGAATGTACATCGATGACCTCTGGAACATTTTGGACGTGCTGTCAATCATCCTTTTTTGTTTGGGCGTTGCATTCAGGTATCGTTTCTGTTTCTCAGACAAAACTCTTTGAAACTTTGTCATCTGTGACTCACTTAGTGTTCATTTCTTCATCAGGTTGACCTCTAAGCTGTTCCACGAGGGTAAAATCATCCTCTGCATCGACTTTATGGTCTTCTGCCTCCGACTCATGGCCATCTTCACTATCAGTCGAACGCTGGGACCCAAATTAATCATAGTGAAAAAGATGGTGAGCAAACTTGCTAATATAAAGACTTTTTGGTGAGATCTTTTTAGCATGTGTTAAAAAATGGGTTTTACATGTTTGTGTTTGTTTTTCTTGCTTGTGACTGACGTGGTTTTGTCCTCCAGATGATGGACATGTTCTTCTTCATGTTTCTGCTGAGTATCTGGGTGGTGGCGTATGGTGTTGCCAAACAAGGCATCCTCATCGACAACGACAATCGTCTGGAATGGATCGTCCGCGGAGCTATTTACGAGCCATACCTCATCATATTTGGGAATTTCCCTCAAAATATTGACAGTGAGTGGAGATTAAATAAAAACGTGATGAATATTAGTTTTCATGTGTGCACACGAAGATATTTGTAAAGGTTTCGGTTCTAGTTTTGGTGTTTTGTCATTTACAGATGCTGAACTTGACTTAAATTTGTGCAGCGTGAACGGGACAGATCCTCTGAAGCCAAAGTGTCCTCTGCTGAAGGACAACCAAATCCCGGTCTTGTCCGAGTGGCTTACCATCGTCATGCTTTGTGTTTATTTGCTCGTTGCAAACATACTGCTGCTCAACCTGCTCATTGCCATCTTTAAGTGTGTATTTACTCAAATTGTTTTCATTCCCCTCATTGTTTTTGTGTTTCTTAACCTTGCTTCTGCACAGCTTTACGTTCCAGGAAGTCCAGGATGACACGGACAGAATCTGGAAGTTTCAAAGATATGAGCTAATTAAAGAGTATCACAGTCATCCGGCCGCTCCGCCCCCTTTTATCATCCTCAGTCACGTCTGGCTCTTCATCAGGACGATGGTGCTGCGGAGGCCTCCCATCAAATACAAAGAGTTCAGTAAGTCTCACTGTCATGTCTGAAAACGTGTAATTCATTAGATGCTGTACCTGATGGTTGGTGATGTTTGATCGGTTGCCATGGAGGTGGTGGCACGCATGGGAAACAGTCAGAATATAATCACAACATTTTGGGTAATTTAAATTGTCATCAGACATAAAAAAGGGGGTTTAAAGTCCGATTTTCACCATGTCATTCTTACAGTTATAAATGTCACATTTCCCAACTAAACATTTAGTTAGCGAGCTAAGTATTTCATTTTGAGTTAAATGTTCAGTTTACAACTATATATATATATATTGGGGCAGCAGTAGTTCAGGTGGTAGAGCGGGTTGCCTCATTATCGGAGGGTCATGGGTTCGATTCCAGCTCCCGCCAGGGGTATCCTGCTGTTGTGTCCTTGGGCAAGACACTTCACCCAACTTGCCTGTGTTAGTGGTGGTCAGAGGGGCCGACGGCGCCAAATGGCAGCCTCGCCTCTGTCAAACCTCCCCAGGGCGGCTGTGGCTACAAGTAGCTTACCATCACTAGCAGTGTGTGAATGTGAGAGTGTGTGAAAGCGTCTTTGGATGTCTAGAAAAGTGCTATATAAGTTCAATGCATTATATATATATATATATATATATATATATATATGAAATGTTTACTAAATTTTCAGGTCAGAACTGAATATTTAGTTTACAAGCATCATATTTGATTTTCAAACTAAATATTTTTGCTCAAATCTGAGTATTTAGTTTTGATCAAAAAGTTAATTTAGTTCACAAACAAAATATTTGGCTCCAAATAAAATATTTAGTTTGCAAACAAATATTTAGATATTTTGGTCAGATCTAAATATTCAGGTCGGACTCAAATATTGTTTTTTTTTTCTTAGTAATTATTTAATTTGCAAACTAAATGTTTTTGTTTGTATCAAAACATTTAGCCTGTAAAATAAATGCTTAGCTCCAAAATAAGTTAAATCAATCCGTTTGCAAACTATTTAGTTGAGAAATGTAACATTTATGAATGTTTTAATAACATGGTGAAGATGTGACTTTGGAAAATTAACCCAGAATATTTTTTTCTCTTATGCTAATTAACCCAAAATATTGCTGTTAAAATCTGACTGTCTAGCTATACAAACGGCACCCCATGCATACTTAAATTATCATCTGACTGATTTAATGGGATGATGGTTTTCTGTTTGTGTCCCTAGTGAAGTAAAATCTAAGATAAGCAGTAATAATAACGGTTTTTCAGAGAACGAGCTTCCTCAGATGGAGGAAGAGGAGCTGTTGTCCTGGGAGGCCTTGATGAAGGACAGATATCTGCTGTCTGCACAGCAAAAGCAGAGCCAATGCATGGAGAGACGCATTCTGGATACAGCCCAAAAGTGAAATCCTATCTTCTGTTTGGGTCTTCATCACTATTTTTTGTTTTGGATGGATCATCGAGGTTTTGTGTAATTGTAATTAATATATTTGATGTATTGCTGCTTTTTCCTGAGGGTTACCGTCCTAACTGAGCAGCTAGAGAGGGAAGAGGAAACCAGCTCCGCTGCAGTGCTGAAGAGACTCACCAGACTAGAGGAGCAGGTTATCACCTAATTCTTTTTGGCTTCCTAATTTTGTAATGAATGCATGGCACACTTCTTAGTGCACTCAAGTGGATTGATTACGGTAAAGGGATCTAACCTCCTTTGCTTTTTCTCACCTAGTCAAGCAAAACTCTGCAGTTGATTATGGATAATCTGAAATCTCAGGGTGCTTCTGCAAAAGAAACACAACCACCGAGTCAGTAAACCAACTCTTCACAATCACGTGAACTCATTATTGGTACATCGCATCTCCAGTTCTTTGCTCTCTTTTCTCCTCTCTCCCACAGCCTCGACTGGAACAGACGGAAATCTCGACTCTTTAACAAACACATCAGAGATAGAAAAGCGTTTCCATGTGAAAGCCCGTCAGTTTCGCTACCCAGACAGCAAAATCACACGCTTTCCTGTGCCTGAAGAGAAAGTACCATGGGAGGTACTGAACTATATTGTCATCTATGGGTGTCAATTGGCAAGAATCCCCAGACGATGGTTTTTATTTTTAAGACTGACTTTGATTGGAAAGTCGGGCCAGACACTTCCAAATCATATCCAGTTATCTTGTTCAGTCAGAATAAAGGCGGTAAAAACTGCTGCCACCTAGCAGTCGGAGGTCAAATTGCATCACACAAAAGAATACAGTACATGTTTGCATGTAAATTTTCAATAAAAAATATATACACTGCTTTCAAATATCAATTCAGTATCAGAAGACAAAATATCGTGATGTTTGTGTATATTTATATTTTCTTACATCCCTACTCTCAGACTGGGTAGGCCTATCAGGATCTGCTCTGGAGTGGTTCTCCTCTTATCTCTCTGAGCGCTCCTTTTCTGTGGCCGTCTCCAAGTTTAGGTCCTCCACCACCTCTCTTACCCATGGTGTCCCACAAGGTTCTTTGCTGGGGCCTCTGCTCTTCCTCTTCTATCTGCTTCCTCTTCAGCACATCCTGAGCTCCTTCAAAGGAATCTCCTACCATCTTTATGCAGATGACATCCAGCTGTACATCTCCTTTAAGCCCCATGAGATGTCTAAGCTGCAGCTGTTATACACCTGCTTAGACTCTATCAAAACCTGGATGGCTGGGAGCTTTCTTCAGCGGAATGAAGATAAGACTGAGATCCTCATCTGTGCCCCAGACAAGCTGGTTCCCAAAGTCAGAGACTCTCTTGGTCAGCTTGCTTCCCACACCAAACCTTCTGTCAGGAATCTTGGTGTGACCTTTGACCCAGCTCTCACCCTGGATTCTCATGTCAGTTCTCTTGTTCGCTCTTCCTTCTTCCATCTCAGGAACGTTGCTAAGATGAGTCCCATTCTGTCCCGCTCTGAACTTGAGACAGTTCTCCACACCTTCATCTCCTCACGCTTAGACTACTGTAACTCTCTTTTCACGTGTCTGAGCAGAACCTCCCTGAACTGTCTACAGGTGGTTCAGAATGCCTGTGCTCGGCTTCTGACCAAGTCCTCCAAACACACCCACATCACCCCGCTTCTCCCCCAGCTTCACTGGCTGCCTGTCAACTTCAGGGTTCATTTCAAGATCCTGGTTCTGGTCTATAGGGCCTTACAAGGACAAGCACCATCTTACATTGGTGATCTTCTTAGTCCCTACACCCCCAGCAGGTCCCTGAGGTCCAGTGATCAAAGCCTACTAGTTGTGCAGCGCACCAGGCTAAAGACCAAAGGTGACAGATCATTTGTTGCTGTGGCCCCCAGACTCTGGAACTCTCTCGCCCTGAGCCTGAGATCAGTGGACTCAGTGGTCTCCTTTAAAAAGAAGCTGAAGACTCACTTGTTCAAACTGGCTTTTGTATGACCTTCTTCACCACTCTCTCTTTATTCTGCTCTCCCCACCTATCCCACCTTCCTCAGGATCCACTGATTTCCCTCTTTCCTGTTCTCTCTCTTTCTTAACATTTTTCATCACAATTGCCTATTTTTGCTCATTTTAAATATATTTTTAAACATTTTCTAAATGTGTTTTTACATTTTTTGCTTTTGTGAAGCGCCTCGTGATTTTTATCTTGAGAGGCGCTATAGAAATGATATTTTCTTCTTCTTCTTCTTCTTCTTCTTCTTCTTCTTCTCTTTTTTCCCATTTTGCTTTCAGAAAGGTAGACCTTGCTGTAACACACAAAGTGGTTTTAATCAATAATTTAAACTGTTTAATGCACAATATGGCTAAATCTGGAATGAAAATGAGTAAAAAAGCAACCAAAGTTTAAATGTTTTTATGATTTTGTTTTATCAGGTCAGCTTCCCTTCATACATGCCACCTTATTATGATTGCAAAGAAGACGGCTGTGACATTGATGGGTAAGTTTTGACACCAGAACCCGTTTTACTGCCTCTTCGTTTTTCTGCCTCGACTTTTTACACGTTCCTTTTCTTCACAGATCAGAAGCCTTAGAGAAATACAGGTGAGTAAAAAAAAAACAAGGTGACATCAAATGATGATTAAACTTTCAGTGACATGTCTTAATGTTTGTGGGATTGTTTCTTCATTAGAAACCCAGAAGGGAGGACGGGGATCAGGGGACGTGGTGCACTCAGTCGTCTTGGCCCAAACCGGAACTTGGACCTTGTGCTGACCCGGTAGGTCACCTGGTGGTTTTTATCTTAAAAATTGGCATCTTGGAGGAGATTTAAGAATTTGAACATGGATTTTCAGTTGGAGAGACAGTGAGAGGTCTGTGTTGGAGTTCCTGGGGGTTTGGGGTGAGAGTCGAGGATTTTTAGTTCTCCCTGGGGTGAGTGCTTTTCTCTCCTCAACTTTCTTCATTTGATCTCTTGTCAAACATGATTTGTTTGTATTTTTATAATGTTTAAACCCTCAGGGACTTGCTGACTCTGCTGAACACCTGCCAGCACCTCTCAAGAAAACCCTGGGAGACAAGATTTATGAAACGCTCAATGCAAAATTATCAGAGGGAATTAAGGTGTTGGTCAACATTTGATCATTTCAGCTTCACTATGAAACACACACACACACACACACACACACACGCACACGCACACGCACACACACACACACACGTACACTTAATTAATTTGAAGCCATTAAGTTGAACCTGCTGCTGTGTTTCAGGTGTTTGAAGGTTACGTAGATGACTGCAGGAACACGGATAACGCCTGGGTGGAAACCACCGTCCTGAACATTCACCTACCTCGAACAAGTGAAGTGATGGTGGACATCAAAAATATGGTAATGTCTTCTTATTTCTGTAAAAACATAAACACAGCTTCAAATAAACTCTGCATTTATTATTTTTCCCAGTCCGTGAGCAGCCACGGCTCCCTCCAGTGGCAGGAGGTCAGCAGCAGAACCAGACTCGACTCAAACCAAAACGACTCGCTGAAGAAGGTGGCAGCTCTTCATAAGAGGCCGTTTTGATGTTCAACTCGCCCCCGCCTCTCTTTCAAATTATTTGTATGCATTATGATGCTAGTTTGTAACAGCTGTCATCTCCAGGCCTTTCACAAGGACAACAATCATCAGGTCATCTTAATCTGCCAGTGTGGCATTTTACTGCCACTTATATCAATGCATGGGGTTGCACTCAAAACTATTTATAAAAAAAACGCAGAATAAAGCCATAATGCTGCTGTGGAGGACCCAAGCTTTTACTAACACACTGCAGCTGCAAATATCTTGTAACTCTGCACTCTTTCTCTAATATAATTCATTTCTGAGTCATTTTTTTATTCTTTAAAAACAATAAATGTGTTTGTGGAATCAGAATAGAAGTAAGGTGAGAAAAAGTCTCATGGTAAATGACGCATGTGTCAATGTTGAGTTTCAAATGTTTGATGATGATGATGTCACCTTCACTCGTGGGAAACTGCCTACGTGGCTTTTTAAATCTTACAATTGAACACAACTAAAAGAGTCTATGATGTTAATAGACAGACATTCAGATATATTTCTGGGAGGGCAAGAACACTAGGCACTTGTGTGACAGTTTATTCTGCACTTAAGAACCACATAAAAATAACACTCAATGCAGCCAAATAAAAATGTATGAAACTTTTTTGAGGACGTGTTTTGCAAAACTCACCTTTTTCATCCTTTTCTTTGGCCATGCGGTTCTCTACTGCCGCTACAAACAATCTAAACATGAAAAAACCCTGTCCATCTGTTCTCTTTCAGTTTGGGGTTTTAGAACCTAACGTATGTTCTTAAAACAAGCATTTGAAAAAGTCCTCATTTGTGATTTCACAAACAAAAAAGTACAATAAAACCACCTCTCACGTGCAAGAGAGAGCTGCTGCTGGAGGAGGCTTCTCAGCTTTTTCTGCCAATCAAGGGGTGGGTAGGCATGACCAGCTCCAGTTTGTTTTCTTAAAGAGCAAGTCACCCCTTACAAGACGCGTACTTCACTCCCACTTCATGTTTGAACAATGCAACAAATGCTGTTGCCTAGCAGACCGAGAGGGTGGAGCCACTAACAAATACACACACTCATGACATTGTGACATCATAATGTACCATTTTACATCATAGCTTACCTCTTAGCCAATAGCGGTGGCAGATTTAAATTCAAATGCAATGAAGAGTTTTTACCTGACAACGGCACAACACTGACAGTTTCAGGCAGAAAATAAAAATTTTAACTAAAATGCACTAAAGTGCAAAACTATTGACTACATGAGTCTGCAGCACGATTAGACATGCATTTATATAGTTTATCAGAAAACAATTGTTGATTTGGGGGTGACTTGCTCTTTAAAGTGACAGAGACCTGAAACAGCTCATTCTGGAAGGCACTGAAAATGTGAGAAGTACTTTGTGCAAATAACTTAATGAACATTCATTTAGAAGACCATAGGAGTGTTATTTTAAAAAAAGTCACAACATGCCCACTTTAAACAAATAAGAGGGGTCTTGTTGACGAGTGAGGGAAAGCTGCAGCACGACATCGATAGGTGGATTGGTGCTGCGTCTGCAGTGATGTCAGCTAACACAAACAACTGAATGAATGTCCAACACTGTGAAGTATGTTGCAAAAACTCTTCCATTAACATTATTAATCTATTAATCATAGATAAGGCTCAGTTTAGCTATAAATACTTGCAATGGTATGCACTACTTTATTCTAAATATGTTTTATTTTATTTTATTTAAACTTTATTTCACCAGGCTAAACAGATTAAGAACAGACTTCAACTGTGGCTGGCCTCTGCTGAAGGACAACCAAATACCGGCAATGCCTTTTGTGTGAAAAGGAAAGAGGACTATACCGTAAAACAATTTAAAGCTGCATGAATTAGACAAAATAAAAATAAATAAAACATGAATACACACACAAAAACGCGATTTATAGAAGAAGATAGAAATGGCTATAAAATAGTTGGAAGTCAGTCTGTGACAACAGCAGATATCTTTAAAATGCTCCATGATCCCAGCTTGGAAAGCTGCCTTTAAGATGAATTAGTTCAATTTTTATTTTATTTTTATTTTTTTGTAGGTCGTTCCAGTCTCTACAACTTTCACTCTTAAAACTTGAAAAAAGAAACTTTTGATTAATTTTGTAATTTCCTGTTCAGATTGCCTTTTATTTAACCAAAGTGTCAACAATAAAATGACTTAACTGCTTCATGTTTTTGTCATGTGGGATTTAGTTCAGTTTCGGAGCTGCCTCCTCGGGCTCTGATTGGTTGAGGAGAGGTGGCCGGACTCATGGAGCAGTATCGGCTTCACTCCTCCGTCTGTTGTCCCTCCTTCACTTTAATATTTATTCTAATAAACAGCAGGACTCCCGCGCAGCTTAACAGGCAACAACAACAACAATAATAATAATAATAATAATAATAATAATATACTCATTCGAGTCATTATGAGGTTTATATTGAGACTTTGCAAAGATGTTTACAAAGTGAAGATGCATATACTAAAAATAAAAAAATAAATACATAAACAAACAAATAAATAAATGAAAATGTCACTGTTTAGATTTTCTTACTATTATCAATCGTCCTTTACCAGCAGGGCAGAACGGCTATTTTTATCCACAGCTGTAAAGAGAGCTAAATAATAAAGAGTTCCCACTCTGCTTTTTTATGATACAACCTTAGCAAGTCACTGCCTCATTTTCTTCTAATAAAATCAATTAATGTGTAAATTATTTATATTTTTGCATTTGTTTATGTATTTTTTACAACCATTTCAACAAAAAGCAGTATCCCAGAGAAAATATCCATATTCTTTTTGCAGTTTTTACATTTTTCTTCATAATTTGATGACTTAATAATGGACACAAAATGGTGATTTTTCAAAAATTGTTAGCAAAAGTCTCATAATGATGTTTCTGAAGGAGGAAAAACAGAATTCTGATTTTAATGTTTCATCTCAGAAAAAAAGTCTGAATTTTGAATTGTTTTCTAAGAATCCTCTCGTTATTCTGAAATATCTGTAGATAAGTACAGTTCTGTACATTCTCTGTTTTAGATGTAAACAATACTGTTCTGTAATTCTATTCTCAAAAATCATGAATGTCTTTATTTTATTATTATTATTATTATTATTATTATTGTAAGTCCTGTAACAGTTGTAGCAGTTTTTAAATTTGGCTAAAAATTTTTAATTCCATCTGGGATCAAAAAAAGTATATTTGAATTGATTTCAAACTGAATTTGAATCATCAAAAATTTCCACAATGCTGCATAGAACTAAAACAGGTCTAAAAGTAAACTGTAGATGGATTCATTATTGGTGCGACTCTCAAGCAAGCCATACTAAAAATTATTGCAGACAGAGAATCATCACTGCATTTGAGAGGCTATGTTGAGGACAAATTTAACCAGGAGAAGTAATAAGATCCTAGCATGGCAACAGGGGTGCCTCCAGAAACTTTTGACAGGGGTGACCAGACTGGGCCAAATAAATTTTTGGGGTGGCACACCAAACTGGTCCTTGTGGTAACTCAGAGAGTTTAGCCTGCGGTGATGCATTGCATTGCTGCTTTATTCGTTTTTAGTTATTTATTTATTTAAACTGTATGTATCCAAAACATTTAACTTAAAATTTACAAACAGAAACATTTCAGAAAAATGCATCTCAGTTATTTCAATTTTTATTTTAACTTTTTTTTTTTTAGTTTAATTCACCTGTTGCTGTGTTCACAAAAACTATGAAGATAAAAACTTGTTTTTTAATGGTGAGCAGCAGAGCATATGTATTTTTTCATACAGATTTTTTCTTTACTCATTAATTGTATTAGTTTTATTTTGTTGTACATTTATGTCTTGAATAAATAAGATAAATTTATGGTTTGAGTGAACATTAATATGACTTATTAACACTGGCTTTTCCTGGGGGGGGCAGCAATTTTTGGGGGGGCGTCAGTTTGTAGTCTGGCCACGACCCATAGAGAGCTCAGTCATGGGACTGGATCTACAGTTGTCTTTCAAACTTTCATGCTATTGGACAACGAACGTGACTACTCACCAACAGATGTCAGTCAACGAGGCGGTCTACCGTACACCATCGAAGACGATTTAAATATATATTTTTCTAAATAAAGGGCTTAAGTCACTCTATCAGTTTTTGTCTAAAAAATAAAACAAGTGTAAATAGTCCAAAGTTGATGCAAAAACCGTTTCAAACGAGCCATCCAAAGTGATCGGGTAAAATCCATTTGCTTCAGCTTCTGTCTGTCTAGATATCTGGACTGAGAAAATCCCACTCTAAATATAGAAAAACTGAAAAAATTATTGTACTTATTTCTTATTTTTGAGGGTCGCCCATTCCCACCACTCTGATAAAACCATTCATCTTCTGTCTCATAATTACAAGATCATAATTACAAATGACCTATAATTATCTCATAATAACGACTGAACTAAGCCCTAATTGTGAGATACAAGATATTTTGTTAATCAGAGTGGGCTTCCATAGATTTCTTTCAGTGAGTGAGGAGGTTGTTCATTAAAACTTTACATGAGGAAAAATTCACTATTTTCCGGACTTGTCTATTGTTCTTTTGATAAATGACCCGCACTTGTATAGCGCCTCTAGGAGTAAGGACTCCAAAGCGCTTTACACTACAGTGTATCATTGGTCCATTCACACACACATTCACACACTGATGATGATGAGCTACGATGTAGCTACAGCTGCCCTGGGGCTCACTGACAGAGGCGAGGCTGCCAAGCACAGGCGCCACCAGTCCCTCCGACCACCACCAACAGGCAAGGCGGGTTAAGTGTCTTGCCCAAAGACTCTTCTTAGTTCCTACACCCCCAGCAGGTCCCTGAGGTCCAGTTACCAAAGCCTACTGGTTGTGCAGCGCACCAGGCTTAAGACCAAAGGTGACAGATCATTTGCTGCTGTGGCCCCCAGACTCTGGAACTCTCTCCCCCTGAGCCTGAGATCAGTGGACTCAGTGGTCTCCTTTAAAAGCAGCTGAAGACTCACTTGTTCAAGCTGGCTTTTGCTCTCTCTTTATTCTGCTCTCCCCACCTATTCCACCTTCCTCAGGATCCACTGATTTCCCTCTTTCCTATTCACTCTCACTCTTAACATTTTTTAATCACAATTGTCTATTTTTGCTCATTTTAAATATATTTTAACCATTTTTAATTATTTTTTATATTTTTACATGATTTGATTTTTTTAAAGCGCCTCGTTATTTTTAACTTGAGAGGCGCTATAGAAAAGATCTTTTCTTCTTCTTCTTCTTCCTCACAAGAGCAGCATTTTCTGTCTGGAGCCAGGATCGGACCTGCAACCTTCCGATTACTCGACAACCCTCTCTGCCTGTTGAGCTACTGCTTCCCTTTTGAAATTATTCCTCACAGCTTGTGAGTGTTGTGTGTTTATTTGTACATCCATCTAACCCAAAATAATTCAGCCTTTTGGCCTCATTTCGCTGAAAAAAAGCTAGATTTGGTCGTTTTCCGACGCCTCGCTGGTGTCTGTAGCGAATAGACGATCTTTGACGAAGTGTTTACAGGTGAACGAGCGTCTGAGCGCTTTCCGGAAGTGACGTGTGACGCTCGCAAGATTGTACCATTCGAGTAAATAGATGAGTCGAGGCAGCAGCGGGTGGATATCTCTCTCAGGAAGGCAAAACGGTGAGAATTTCTACATTTTTATTCAACTTTTCCAACGTTTCTGCTTTGTTCTGGAATAATAATGGAGCGTTTAAATTAATCGATCAGAATCGCTGCCGTTCGGTTGTGTGAAGCTCTTGGAGCTGCAGTTTCGCACGACGACCCAGGACAGTAGACGTACTTATCTGTGGACTTTGAGCCGCAAATTTGCTCCTGTTTAAAGCCATTTCAGCCACTGTACTTTTATTTATTCTTGTTCCACAATACAGGAAGATTACAACGGGTTGACGGTGCTAGCGTTTAAAGGTTAAGGCTCTTACTCCCTTCATTATGTAACCAAGTGAACGATCTTGTTAATGCACAATGGGGCTTTTTATCTGTGTGTTTACACCCGGAGAAGGAGAAAATCATAGGGTGATGTGGGTTTTGGCAGGAGTTGAGGAGAAATTGTAGCGTTTTCTGAAGAGATGTTTGTTTTGTGTTTTTAGTTTGGAGTTGAGATAGATGTTTTGTGGCTGAAAGTTGTTGTTTTTTATTTTGTAATTACTTTGCTGTTTAATTGGCAATATATTTGATACAGTCAGGTTAAAGAAACAATCACTGCTTTTCCCAGGATCCACTGATCGCCTTTTCTTGTTAATTTGCTTTTTCCCTTTCCCTACATCTTTTGCTTTTCTCATTTTTATGATTTTTTCGTCATTTTTTTATTTATTTGTTTTGATCATTTTTGTTCTTGAGTTAAGTTTTTATTTATCGCAAGTAATATCACCATCGCAATATTAATCACTGTTATCGCATATCGCAGGTTTTCCTAATATTGTGCAGCCCTAAGTTTTTAGAGCTATGTTGGATTTTTCCTATGAACTCAGTTACAGTCATGCTTCCCAGGCTGTGTTTTGTACCGGCGTGTGATCCACTGTCACCCTGCTTTTATGAAGAAATTTTGTTTGTGTACGTAGCACTTCACAAGCACAATAATAAACAAAACAATAACAGAAGTTAGGCAGAAATGACAGAAACTCAAGCGGTATAGAAGCTAACGAGTAAGCAGCACAAAAGCCAGCTTGAAAGAATGAGTTTGAGTTGCTCTTTAAAGGCACACTTGGCAGTTTTGCTTGCTTTAAGCACCCCCTAGTGGCCATTTAGTAGAACCAAATGCAAAACTTATCTCCTCTAGGGCTGCCACAAACGACTATTTCAATAGTCGACTAATCGCCAGTTTTGTTGACAATTAGTCGACTAAACGTGTCATTGTGTCTGTGAAGGTTCTCAGTCATCCAGGTCATTGTAGTCTAATGAGCTTTGAAAGAAAAGCGTCTGGACTTCTTTGAGTTGCTTGAAGACGTTTCACCTCTCATCCGAGAGGCTTCTTCAGTTCTAAGGTCAAATGGTGGAGAGGACCCACACCCACCCTCACACCTTGGCTCATGTGTTTATGTAGAAGATCATCAGGGGGTCTTTTGTTCCCTCTTCGGGGGGGGGGGGGGGGAAACTCCCACTGGGTTTAAATCTGGGACTCTCCACCATTTGACCTTAGAACTGAAG